CGGACGGACGGACGGACGGACGGACGGACGGACGGACGCCGCGCCACGGCAAAAGCTCACTTGGCACTTCGTGCCAGGTGAGCTAATAAAACAACACGATATTCAGACAGAACGCAGTGTTTTACTGTGAATGACATAATACATATGTTTAGGATACTAATCTCACCAATGAATGACGAATATTTCTTTTGGGAAAAAACAACTCTATGTAACAGTATATAGATGTTCGGTAGTGTATGTGGAGCTGACATTTTATTTTCGTACCATATTTCCTTGTTCAACACTTTAATGATGTTATGTTACAATAATGAAAACAAAAACATGGTTATTGTCAGAAAACACCGCAATAAATTATATCTTATCAAAGGTTTACAAATGACTGTCAGTGAAAATGTGATGCAATGTTTTCCCTATATTTAACTGACCACACTTGTTACCTCCCTTTTGACAGAGACATACAGAGCCAGTAGTATATATATATATATACGTCTCTGCTTTTGACCAGCTCTGGTCTGTCGTGAAGTCTTCATAGTGGAACGCCATAACATTCTTAAATTAAACACATTCGTGAAATGATGTGTTGTTGTCATTATATGAAAGATGTCTCATTTCATAACGTGCTTTTGTCATTACACAATGTAATATCCTGGAATATACAGTAAAACTTAATTTTACTGACACCTAACTTAAGGACATCCTATAATATACAGTTAAACCTGACTTTACTGACACCTGACTTTAAGGACATCCTGTAATATACAGTAAAACCTGACTATACTGACACCTGCCATTAAGGACAGCCTGTAATATACAGTAAAACCTGACTTTAAGGACATCTTGTAAAATACAGTAAAACCTGACTGTACTGACACCTGCCGTTCAGGACAGCCTTTCATATACAGTCAAACCTGACTTAACTTACACCTGACTTTAAGGACATCTTGCAATATACAGTAAAATCTGACTGTACTGACACCTGCCTTTAAGAACAGCCTGTAATATACAGTAAAACCTGACTTTACTGACACCTGACTTTCAGGACATCATATAATATGCAGTAAAACCTGAAATTATTGAAACCTCCCTTTTAGGACATCTTGTAATGAACAGTAAAAACTGATGTTACTGACACCTGACATTAAGAGCATCTTGTAACATACTGTAAAACCTGTATTTACAGACACCAGACTATACGGAGCCTGTGATATTTAACAGGACTATATAACTGGTTTCTCAGTCAACTGGCTTTTCCGACACACCCTCGTCCGGCCAAATACCAGTAAATCAGGTTTCGCTGTATATAAAACAATTATTTAAAAATTATTATCCTCTCGTGTTTTTTTAAAAAAAAGAAGGAAAATATGCCGTAACCTCTTATCAAACATTTCATAAATGCCTTTTGTAAAATATAAGAAATAACAAAGACCATTGATTAGATTATAATAAATTTATTACACACATATCACACATTAATGCATCATTGTACACAAGACTTTATACAGTGAACAGTTAATGCCAGAGATTAAGTGACTTTAAAAATGCACATGTACAAAATGTAAGTCTATACGGCTTTAAATAGCTATGTCCTGGTCATGAAAAAACTTACAAATTAAAATTTGTATAATCAGTGTTTTATCTATCTAGAAAATCGGTAAATGATAATTTTGAACATGTTATGAGCAAAAATTAGCATCAGAATTCATACAAGAAAAAAATAATGAAAAAAAAAGTTTGAATGTCAAAAAACACTTGAGACACTCATGAAAGATATCAAAATATCTACCTGCTCATAAAATATAACTATTATTCATGAATAAAAAAAGAATATCCTCTATTTAATACAGGTTTATTGGTGAAAAATACTATTTTACAGCGGAAATGAAGATCATATTTTAAATCTGTGACAACAATGGTTTTTCGTTTCACACTTAACAGACCAAACAGAGAGCAGGGTTTACTGTGAACAATAATAAACAATGGAAAATGTTACTTGTGACGTCATGTTTTCTTGGCATTTCCTTATTGTGTGACGTTGCAATACACCATTCCATTCCCTCTCTTTCTCCTAACATGTTTTGTCGGGAGGTGGACAGTCTGTTCATGGAAGTCAATGANTGCTCATGGAAGTCAATGTCTTAACAGTGAAAATTTAATAAATAAAACATAATACTCTTGGTTGTTTGAGAAATAAGAGCTATATTTCACTCGTGAACAATATCAAACTATTCACCCCACTCGTGAAATATTGTATTTATTAACAAGTCTTTTTTCTGATACTATTAGGGAGTTGGGGCCAAAGTAACTTATATATGCTATTTCTGCGGGAGTTAACTCCCTTATCTGGTATGAAATTTGTCCAAATTTCTGCGATTTTCCTTCTTGATTGAAAACTTATATCACATGATGATGTGGTCTTGCAATTATGAATTTTTTGGAGATATGTTCTTTCTCGTTTATTCAATTTATATTTGGGAGTCGGGGTATTACTTAACATGAGTGTTATAGTTGTTTTGTCTTGTTAACTGCTACGAGCTGTGTAACTTCATCTCATTAAAATAGGAAAGTTATAATAAAATATATATATACTATCAGTCTTTTAGGGACCTGGGCACAAACTTATACCTAGGGGAAAATATTTGTGTCATACTTTTAACCGTTNTTGATCATGATAATGTATGACCACACTAGAATGTTGACTGATTATCCTCCGTTGATCATGATAATGTATGACCACACTAGAATGTTGACTGATTATTCTCCGTTGATCATGATAACTTTCAATCATAATAGAATGTTAACAGAGTAGTCTCTAGTGACAAAGATAACTTATCACCAAGGTAGTTTGTTGACTATTTTTCTGATTATGATACAACCAGTATGATTCTGTGTTGTCATGGTAACTATACCTACTAGCTTTGTCACAGGAGTCACACACTGCTGTACTGTAGTAGTTTAACATTATCCCAACCAAACCCTGCCCACAGGACATCCTCCCTGTCTACACCTACAGCCAATGTATAGTCTGTGTCTGTGGGTATGATCCTGAGGAACTCACCACGTCCACTGATGAGTAGGACTCTGTTGTTGTTACAGTCCGCTATGATAATGTTCCCCACACTGTCATACACCACACCACAGGGGATAAATGGTGCAGCTCCTTTCTGTGATGATTGTTTATATGTACTGGGGATGTCACCTCTATATACAAACAGTTCCTTGAAATCAGAGTCCATAACAATAACATGTTCTATCCCATCACCACCATAAGCCTGATCATTCCTATCAACCACTGCGACATTGTGAGTGACAGGACACTCTGAGATCCTATATGGTGAACACACTAATGGCTTCCCAGTTCTTGCAGCACTTGTAGTGAGCACCATTTGACCTTTTGTGGTAAATTTGGAGATGTTGTCGGTCATCCCCACAATGACATGGTTACAGGCAGTAACACAGATACACATGGGATACTCCTTTGTACTGAATCTGTGTATTAGTCGTCCTGATACCAGCTCCATGATGTTGTTTTCTGTATCACAGACCCACAGTGTGTGTGTTGTTGGTGACAGGCTTATGTTTTCGATGTAATCTTTGTGTTTGACCTCCTGTATTACTGTCCCCTTCCTGTCCAGGAGAGTTAATGTGTTACTGTCAAAACTGGTCCACACCTGACCATCAGTGGTGGGGCATATAGAAGTAATACCAACAGGAGACCTCCACTCCTCCAACACTTTGGTCTGTGGCAGTAGTGTGTACATAGTCACTGCCTTCTTTCCTTTTGGTTCTGACTGTTGTGAAGTAGAGGATGGTTCCTGACCACCAGATGTCCTGACTGACCCATCCTGGTCAATTGAAGCTTGACCTTGACTAGATATGGCTATTTTTCCTAAGGCCAGTTCTAGGTGATGTTGAGGGGTTTTGTTTGGAGTGAAACTGGCAGTACCCAGGACAGGTTTTACAGGAAGATTTGTTTCGGAACAAATTTCACATCCGACATCATAGATTTCTATATTAATACTGCGCTGGAGTGCTGTCTTGCATTCCTGTACTCGTTGTTTGAGTTGCTTGTCATACATGTCTAGGTCGTGTTTGTATGTTTGAATCAGCTTAACATTATCCTCCTCCATTTTGTGATAAACAGAGAGTGTCTGTGCTGTTAGCAAGTCGAGGTCTTTCTTTAATTTTTCTGTTTGCATTTTCAACTTGTGTGAAAGATTCTCAAAAATGCTGGTGTTGTCTTTAAGAAGTGTATCAGTAGATGTGATGTATTCCCTAAGTTGTACCAGGTCATTTTGTTCAGATGTGTCAATAAAGTTTTGAATGTCTTGTTTCCTTTTAGGAGTAATATTGCTGAGTTCACAAACATCATGGCCTTTATGAGTTGAGGACAAACATTGCAGACAAGCTAGTGTATCACATTTTTCACAGTAAAGTTCAAGTTGTCTACCTTTGTGTTCAATACAGGTGATCTGACCTTTCTTACGGAGAGGTATTTGACCTATGGGTGTTGCCATGTTGATGAAAACGTTGAGGAGGAGACCAGGAAGTCTATAAATAGACCAAAACAACTTGTATATTGTAACTGATATTGAATAACAGTCACAAAATATACTTTATTTTATGTCTCTAAATCTTGACTTTACACTGAGCTCCAATCCAGGTACACGTGTTCATAAAACATAATTGTAAAGACACTAAAGCATAGCTACCTGATGATCACTGATGAGGAATCCAAGTTTTTCATTCCAAGAATGAGAATGTCAAAATTACGCAAATGCAGACACCTACTGTGTGTTTCCATTGTTGATATTCCCATCACTGGAATGACAGCCTGGTATCAAAGTTACTCGCGTTGTCTTGCTATATCAATTGTTTACTGGTTGAGAATGAAGGTTATTCCAGGGACACATTTTCGTCTGGTTGACATTATCTGTACAACAGTCTTAAATGAATACGCCTCCCGGCCAGCATTGGCAGATCTGCATGTTCAGACGTGTAACTATTCAGACACTATTACTTCCCTGTTCGGCGAGGTTGCCGACAGGCGTGCAGAATAGATTGTGGAGTAGGTCAATGTAGGTCATGTTTACAGACCGTGGTATTTATACCTACCTACAGTTTTACCTCAGATGTGTAGTGTCTGATGTTTTTATGTGTATTAGGTAACAAGACAAACCTTTAGTGTAGATATATATACCTCTGTGTTAAATGATTTAGATATTCGTTCAAGTTGATAAAATCAACTGTTTTAGTGTAACGTTTATGTGGGTTACGAGGAAACATGTATTCCATCCCAAGCCTCAGAATTTCAACATCAAGGAAACACTATCTTATTGTCTAAATAAATCACTTCTTTTTCTGGCTCAGAATTGAGTTTTATTTCAATTAAACATTTCTGTGTAATGCCTGTTTCTCGTTGTTAGCTGTATACGGCTCCCCGGCCAGGATTTGTAGATCGATCTGTGCAGACGTGTAACTGTACAGAAAATATTACTTCCTTTTTATGCCAGGTTGCCGACAGTTTATCAGATATGTCATGTCAAAATCTTTCTTCCTCAAACCCCTATGTCCTTGAATTAATTGAACTTTCCAGATCGGAATCTCGTAAAATGCTTTTATCAAACTCTAGGACGTACATTCCCATTTTAGGAGGGGTTATACTTACTGTAGTCTATATAGATACATTAGCAAATTTAGATACATTTGATTGCTTTTAAGCAGGAAATAGTTCAATCTTAGAAATGAAATTGTATTGAGATGAAAGTCAAGTGGTATGCATGCTAAAATCCTGACAAGTCCCTTGGGCCTGAGACACGGGGTCCAAAAGGGGGAAATTCTGAGAATCAAACGATCTTTATGAAATAGAACATCTGACGTACTTTACCAGTACAATAACTGCGAATTTCGTTCCCCTGGATCATTGATTCCCTCTAAGGAAGAGGTAAAATTTACAGAAATTGTATAATTTTGGATGTCTCTTGTATTTATCAATAGGACTTGATTAAGGTTTGGTTCAGAAGGAGTTATAGTTAAATGGTAGGTATGAAAACTTAAACTCGTCTTGGACTGAAATGTCCATAAACCAATCGGCGGTCTAGGGATCGAATCCTAGCCTGCCTCCATTACATTTTTTCCTTCAAAACATAGTGGTGGTGGTGGTGGTGGTGGTGGTGGTGGTGGTGGTATAATTATTATATTTACGTTTCAACGTAAGTTCTTTTTCTTTTCATCAAAGTTTGAAAAGGTATGGATTTCTTTTCAGAAATGTTTTAATTAAAAATATAGGTCGGCCTGTAAAAACTGACCAATTCATAACCTGATGATGTTTGAAAATGTACCATGAGTGACTGGGTTTTGGAGAAATCCTCTGTTGTAACCCAAAGACCTGAAATACAAATGTAAGCTGCTTCTTGCAAAAGTCTCCTGATAAACATTAAATACTTACCGATGCTAAGCATATGGCAGCCGGTACCGAGTTTGTCAGTTATAATATTCAAGTACAATGAAACCTGGCTAAACTGACACCTGACTTTGCGGACGTTCTCTAATGTCTCATAAAAAAACCCAATAACAATATCGCAACTCTGATGTATGTTAAAATCCTAGGGTCTGTTCATGTTGTTAAATGTGGTGATATGGTGAAATATAGTATGCATGCTCAGAAAGAACTAATTCTAGGATCCTGGTGACGGTAGAAATTCAGAGCCGACTTACCGATATTCTGACTAGTTAAACAACAAACACATTACACTTTTTATCAAGTAATAAGTAGAAAGTCAATTTGAATAACAACCTTTTGGCCACTAACATCACCGACGAGTCATAAAAAGGTCGAAACAGCTGTATGATCAAGCGTAATTCATTTCTGACATACTGTATCTATTACCAAAGTTAAAGGTGCAGACACCTGTGTGTGTGTGTTACGTTCATCTTTCAAGATACTTTGTAGTACACTCTGCTGGCACAGGGACTTGTCAATAATAAGTGATCTGGGGGTCGGATCATGGGGTATTTTTTTCATTCTGGGTCTTAGGAACGTGTCAAGTCCCTGTGTCTGCATCCTCGATTTCCAGGGGTTACGCTCACTTTCGCTCAATACACCCCCTGGAAGATGTCATAGCAAAGTTGAAGGCATGAAGATAGCTGTTTGATTGGTGTCGGGTAAAAAAAACCTGACCAATCGCTAGGCTGATACCTGTCCATTGAAGATTACAAAGGAGAGACGCCCGACTTCAAAGCCTGTCAATATTTACCATTACGTGACCGCGAAATTCTTTTGGTGTACATCACAGGATCGAACTAGTATTCTTGTCTCATCAACAAGGAGGCGCACACCATCCTTCAATTTGCCATGACATATTTCAGGTGTGTAGAGAGCGAAAGTGAGCGTAACCCCTGGATACCGAGGATGCTGTGTCTGCTGGTGTACTTTGTGAGTCTCGAGGTTTGCTGTAACCTTGATAGCCAGTAGTTGCATGGTTCATAATATACACAATTTACAAACGATTTAATTCAAAGTTAATCAGTATTCTTCTCAATTTCGAAATTCATATATTAAGGTGTTTTACACAACTGCCCCTCTGTACAGTAATTTGGAGACAACTTGGATTAACGTTTTTTGCCCCTAGCATCACTGATGAGTCCTAAAAAGGACGAACCAGCTGTATGATGCAGCGTAATCCAGTCTTTTGGCATGTTACCTTTACATTATATTATAATTCTATTCATTTAATTAAAATCCCACAGCTTTTATAGCATACTGTATCTATTACCAAATCTAAAACGGTGCAATCTCATGTGCGTGTGCTTTGTTCATTTCCCATAAGAAAATTTGTCTATAGAGATTGAAATGATCACCTAGCAATAAGAATCCCCAAATTTGTATGTTTCCAATAACGTTTTCACTATATCTGTACTTTATTGTCAGCTTCCATGCGATTAAGAAGTCTTTAGAGTGTTGACACTCAGGTGTACTTGAAGGAGCGAGTTCAACTCCCGGCATCAGGGACAAATATATCCACAAAAATCCAAGAGTGACACTCCCGATAACAAATCTCCTCTGCAGAATATGAAGGTGAGCACAACATCTGGAATTTCGAGGATTGGATCAATTTGTGTTAGACTGAAAACAGGGTCCTCAATAATTTTATAAATAATATTTATTTATGAGCAGCATATGTGAAAAATTTAATTGTCCAAATATCGTATTTCATGGTTTATGTTTGTTGTGAATAAAATAAAATAGGGTATATATATGGAGAGACAATTTCAGAATGTCACCTCTGTTTTTTTAAACACGCTTCCTTAGTGACAACATGTATAAGTTGCTGTCCAACTGCTAAACACACGATGATTTAACTGTTGTTATTTGTGGTACATAGAGTAGCTTCCCCTTAATTATCCCCCGTTCAACGAGTTGACGGGGGATATAGAAACAGGGTCCGTCCGTCAGTCCATTCCGTCCATGTACCCGGTTAAGAAGAATTGCTCTCATCTATATCTTGCCTGCTACAAGTGCTATGTTGATTATACTTGCATCAATTGTGTATCAATCTCCTAGTGTTGCATGGCGAGGATCCAAGGTCTGCTGGGGTGAATGACCAAAGCCAGTGTATGGCTAAGGACTTTGTATGGTCAGAATCCCTAGTAGCTTATGGATCTCTTGCTGCCCAACACTGGGGGATCCTTGGTCTAAATAAATGAGGCATATATATATTTATTTAACTAAAACTTCTATGGGAGTTACTCCCCTTGCATCACTATTTCTGTAACTATTTCATGTACCATTTCTTTCTATTTCTTTCTATATATAGTTTATATTTGTTTGTAATTCTGGCTAGGAGAGGACTTATATAGGCATAGCCTGTTGTCCAATCCTTTTGATTTTTCAATAAAATTTACTGAAATGAAATCAATTGTGTATCTAGGGTTGCTCTATTGGATGCATGTTTTGACCTTAATTATATACTTCATTTTGTAATGACTTTTGCACTGCGAGCGGGTGATATCGATGACAGTGTCTTCCCGTTTTGTTTTTGATACATCTGTAATCAGACGGGAACAAGAAACTTCCGCTGATAAGGTATCCATATTGTGATTGTAGGTCTAGAGTTCCAACCCTTATCTGGTCCCGTTGTATTTTAACTTCCAGATCACTGTTTATTTTTATATCCCCGCTTTATGTATGGTTGTATATGCGGGTATATATATACTATTCGCTTTGTCCGTGCGTGTGTGCGTCCGTCTGTCCAGCCTGCGGTTTTCGGAGCATAACTCTATCTCAGCCATTGTTTCACGAATTAGTGTCAGACTTTGTTCATAGATACACCATGGAAGGGCAGTATGTGTTGCACCCTAAGATGAGGTCAGTGTGACCTTAATTCGACCTTTGATCTTGACCTAATTTACCAGAAATAATAGTTTCTTGAGCATATCTCAGCTGATTCACATCAAACTTTGTATATAGAACATCATAGAAAGGTGGTACGTCACATCCTAAAATAAGGTTACTGTGACCTCAAATGTACCTATGACCTTGTCCACAAGTCCTTAAAGACAGATTTCTCCAGCATATCTTAGTCACTATTTATGAATGGGTTTTAAACTTTGTAGTATGAAAGGAACGGGGCTATCCATGAAGCCTACATATGAATGCTTGGATAAGTAAATCAAGTTTTTATTAATATGATTTTTCGTTTTCATTAAAGTTCCGCAAGGTATGGGTTTCATTTCAGAAATAATTCATCAAAGCTGCTGTCATACAGGTAAAACGTTTGCCATTTATCACAGGCTAGTCTGTGTAACTTGAAACATAAAACTTTGGAATGAGTTTTAAGAATCTCAAAGATTAATTACGAAAATGGAACAGGCTAGTCTGTAAAACTGAAAAAAAGGCACTTTTGGATGAGCTGTATATATCTCAAAGATAAAATACGGAAATGGAATTGAAATAGGAAAACATTTGTGGTGGAACCATCATCAAGACTTCAATGTTGCCATGCTGCCTTCATGTCTATTAGATTCAATACGATGCCACAACTTATGCCATCATGTTGATTGTCATCATTCCGAAGTTCTGACGTCATAATAGATGATACAAGATTATGAAATGTATTTAAACAAAAATAAGACATCGTTGTGGTCACTTCATAATGTTAAGTTTGTGATGAAAAACAACTCGTTATTATTTTAATATTTAGTTTATTGAAATAGACTTGTTGTTTGATATATGCAGCACTTTCGTTTAAACTGAAAAGAAATGACATCGAATAAGGGTCAGATTGCTGACCTGACATTGAGCAAAGTCAAAATAAAACAGGATGTCTATAAATAAAATTGTCTGTACCATGTCACTGTAACTATGGCAACAACAAACATTGTCCAATCTATCACAGGAGCATATCAGGTTTTATCAATATACCTCTTGCCTTCATCACAGAAAATACACTGTAACCTTAGCAATATAATCATCGCCATGGTAACACACAATAAATAACGTCATCAATTATCTACAAATATATATCAATAAAAAGATTTCCTTATTAAATTATTACTATTATACAAATATGTTACAACTACACAGTAAAAACTGAATAAAAGAGCAGAATTAATTAACAAAAATTCTAGGTATATTTTACCCATAATGCCTATCAGGGTTTTATTTGAGGGTACGAAATTTTGTTTAACGAAAGTTTGGATTCGAGCCAAAACACCGTTGATGAATATGCAAGCAGCAAGCGATTGTACGGCGAATTGGAGAACCCAAGGTATATAGCTTATATATACTAAGGCATTCTGGGTAAGTTATACAATAGTAACATTGATACATGTCCGTTCGGATCGTGTCTCCGGACCAGCATTCCACGAAACAAGTTTACCATACAACACTTAAACCTGTCTAAAGGGATAAGAAAGTGCTGCAAATATCGTTACATTGTAAAACAGTTAATTTCATTTGGATTTCAAATTCATTTCTGTGAGAAAATTCTCATTCGATCCAAGGCACCTAATTGTTAATAAAATATCATATCAATAATTTTCTAGACAAAAAAAAATCTTGATAAAATTTTGATTATTTCAGGACTGTAAAGACAGTTTGATAGTTCTAAGTAGAAAAACGCTACATATGATAGATGTGTTTTTAAAATGCTCCTGTTCCGCAGATGATGAGATCTGCAGAACATGTGATTTCTCCAAAGCAGTTTGATGCTTTGCAAGTGAATTCGCCATCGTCTTCATCCGACACGTTCCTGATGATTAAAGAACATTCTCCATTGTCATGGTAAACAAATGAATGGCGATCGTCCTCGACTATTTCAGTGTCCTCTTGGAACCAATGAATGTCCTGATCTTGGTCACATGACACTGTGACATCAAATCGAACATTGTCTCCAGTGACCGCTTGGGAATCGACCATTTCACGGACAAATCGCAAAGAGTTGTTCTCGGACGTGTCGGCATCACTTTGAGCTGATAATGTCCTTGGTATGGATGATGTACTCTCTTTCTGAAGGTCGTTCTCATGACCTTGACCTTTGATACAGTTATTGCAGTAATCTGTATCAGGTGAAATGTCTTTATTTTCAGCAGGAGTGGGCTGTTGTTGTTTCTGATTGAACACATTGTTTGTAGTGATGGTATAACAAGTTGTTGTGGTGGGGATCGTCGGTCCCTCTGTTTCGGCGGCAACCGTTGGATGGTCTGTCGCAGGTGTGTCCTCCATCTTGCTGGATGACCTTGACCTTGAGGTCTGAGAAGAAAGGTCACTCTGAGAAGCAGTATCGGAGTCGCTAAAGACAGAACTCTCGCTATTGGTTCTATCGCCCTTCACCAGTTTCTGTAGGGAAGACATGCGGCCCAGCGCCCGAATAGCTGTTCCCATTTTCTATACAAAAAAACAAGCAGACGACACATAAGAGCTAAGCAGTTGACACCAAACAACACAAACCAAGGTAGAGGTAGCCCAAATTGTCTCCTGTCTATTGATAATTAATTCCATGACTTGATAAAAACATTTGTTTTTTTTTAAATTGTATATAAAAGCAAAATCTGAAATTACTATTGATATGTATTGACTATGAGCTGTACATTCGTATGATGATTCTGTCGTATTGAATTTCTGATGAAGGAATCATTTCCTGTGAAAATCTTTTTAAAATACAGCTATATATATAGTCCATCAGATTATTTTAGAAACCTCTGGTCTAATTTTTCGGTTATAGCCTTCTTTTGAGAAACTGAAGTCGTATTTTAAGTATCAAACATGACTTCATGAACAAGCTGATGTAATCATTGCATAATGAAAGCAATATGACAAGTACAATATAGGTATATGATGTTATATCTAGTTCACATGTAAAAGCCCCTTAACCAGAAATACACATGTAGAGTGGAATCCCAGCAATCCTGCCATGCTGATATCAAAGCATGTCCATCTATATATTTATTATTCTTTATAAAGGAATTTCAAACAGTAACTCAAGAGTCTAGGCTAGTGAGGTTCCATTTTGCACAGAAAGTTACCATAATGCCTTAACTAATGAGGTTTTAAATATACACAGAAACCAAATTGTCTGCACAACTGTTGTCTAATAAATACCAAAACCAAGACGTCCAGAATAATGTGGTTTCATTGTGCAGAGAAACATCAGTGTCTAGTCTAATATGGTTCTACTGTACACAGAAACCAAATTGTCTGAATTGATAAAATTTTCATTTTATGCAGAAACCAAAGTGTCCAGACTAATGAGGTATCACTGTGTACATAACCAAAGTCTTTGTACTTATGAGGTTCCACTTTACATATGTTAATTATTGCATGTTCTTGATCTTATAAACACTTACTCATAAATAGATACTTAATAATGATGAATATTTCTCAAATCATAATGTTACTGATTTCATTATGATCCCACAGCTTTTATAGCATAAAATCTCATCTTCAATTTTAAAAAACACAATTACAACTGATGAATTCCATCCTTTTTTTATCCATAAAAATGTTTTTCTTAGCTTTAGTTTGAGAATTGTTTTACCAATGTTATTTTTAAATTTAAATTTCTCATTAAAATATAATTCCACAGAGAACAAAACAATGAGACTCGGAGAGGCAAATGTGATGCATTAATCTGATTCTGACTGGCCATTTGACAATGACATCACAGATACTGGCAGTAGTGTTTTCCCTGTGACAACATTCATCAAACGTTCTAGGTGAGCCAGTCAAGATGTGGTGCTTGATATATGGAAAGAAGAAAATTTGAGAACAAAGTTCTAGATCAAAGAACAAAGGTCAAGGGCAAAGAACAAAGTTCAAGGTCATAGAACAAAGTTCAATGTCCCAAAAACAAAGCTCAAGGTCATAGAACAAAGTTCAGGGTCCAAGAACAAAGTTAAATGTCCCAAAAACAAAGTTCATGGGCAAAGAACAAAGTTCAACGTCCCAAAAACAAAGTTCAAGGTCAAAGAACAAGTTCAAGATCCTAGAACAAAGTTCAAAGTTCAAGGTCATAGAACAAAGATCAAGACAAAAGAATAAAAGCTCAGTATTGCTTAAGCATTGTTCATTATCGACAAAAAGATGTCAAGGTTATTTTAATGCTGTCTTCGGTTTTTAGGATGAAATATGATTGTTGCTTTGAAAAATAACTGGGTTTTTTCTTTTCATATTTATATTTTCTATAATGAAATGCTATCCACAAATATTTTGTTTGTTTAAAATTCATCACATCAAAGACACTCACGTAATCAAATCCAAAATCAATTTTAATATTAATGACAAATTGTGGAAAAATCTCAAATTTAGCATGTTACCTCTAACTATGATTCCAGTTGGCCTAGAACTACATCATGGTTGAATCAAAGGAATCAGATATTTACTCTGTAAACCAAAAGATAAAGCAAAAGCCAAGTTTTCTGTATTTTCTTATATAGAGACTTGATAAAAGAAGACTTCATATGATCTTAGCTGTTACATGAACAAAAAAAACTCAAGTAGAAAAAATTGAAGAAGAAAAAATGGAAAACAGGATTTTTTTTTGGTTTAAGGGTCTTTCCTCTTATTTCTATTTCTCTGATATACGCAGATTAAATATCCGATTCCTCTGGTCTTTCCTCTTATTTCACAGATTAAATATCCGATTCCTCTGGATATATAATGACTAGACTATCCTTCCCTGGGCACAGGGGATCAATTTTCTATCAATATTGTCAGAATATAGCCCCGACAGTCAGGGCACACAGCTGTATACATCTACTGAGAACAAAGTAAGAAAGACGATGTCCAGGTGACGAAAAACATTACAACAGCACATGTATGTTAAAGTTGCCACTTTAGACCAGGGCCTGTATTCATGAAACAGTTCTAATGCTTAAGCATGCATTTTGTGCCCAAGCTTAATTTCTTGTCCCATTTATGAATTGATGATAAAATCTTATTTTGTCGATAATTTGAAGAAAAAAAATGAAAAGACTAAAAGGAGGATACTGTTTTCAATGTTTCTACTTGACTTTTTGATCATTTGACATGATTTAAGTGAGTTTCAAGAAAGTTGGTGTGAGTACAAAATACATGCTTGAGCATGAGAACGGTTTCATGAATACGGACCCAGATATTATTGTGAAAAACTGGGAAATTTCTCTGTATGTATGCCATGAATTTTGTTGTCTATAAGTTGATGAGAAAGCATTTTACAAAAATTATTTGAAAAACTTTGTTTCATTCTTTTGCTCATTTTGTTTATCTGTGTATTTATGCCATGAATTTTGTTGGCTATGAGTTAGTGAGAATTACAGAATTTAGAAAAATAATAAATTGACAAAATTTGTTTAATTCTTCCTCTCACTTTGTTCCCTGTCGACGTGTACAGACTGTTTCTAAACAGTTGGCACTATATTCCCGATAACGTTGATAGATCTTTGATATCCAGTGCCCATGGCTCTGCAAGTTTTAAGCTTTTTTCCTCTCTCCAGTTTTGATATCAAGCTAGCTCACGCAAACACACTTACCTAGTCTGAATCGGACATGTCAGACTATTCGCATACAACAGAAAAAATGCAGGTTACATCTGTACACTAAGATTATACCATTCATTTGATAGCATGAAACTTTTACTGTGTACCATATTTGCTTTAATTAATGCCCCAGAGTCTTGCAATACAGGAAAATTAGAATGATAATACAGATTACTGAAACTTCCTAAATTCTCTAAGAAAAGAAAAATTGTTTAAAATAAATTTTGAAATATTTTTGGAACCATTTAAATTTTCGTAAACAAATTGTCAAAATCATTGTTATTTTTTGTAGGTATTGAAACCATGTGAACAGTTTTTACTGACTCAAGTTCAGCTATACGAGCAAAGGGTTTATATCAGCAAAATAGTTTGTCTGGCCACAGAGTTTCATGTTGCTTGAACCATATACATATTTCTATATTATATACTGTATTACAATGTTAAGATGCTGTGAATCTATATACCATTATTGACTTAATTAGTGCCCTGGGCAGTTAGTGATAAGGGAAAATTAGGAATATCAAAAGACTATCTAAAAATTCTAAAAAATATTTCTGTGATAATATATTTTTTTCAAGTAAGTAGATGATTTGTGGTGAAGAAGTGGGATACACGGACCAACCCAAGGTTGGGGGCACTTATAAGTGATTGGGTGCTTGTTATATCAAATACGGTACTGAAAGAGAAGTTTGTGTATTGTTAAGTATTGCAAGTGATTACATTTCTGTAAATGTCCAGTGCAGTGTCATCGCCAATTTAAAATAAAAATAAAATTTAAAAAACGGTATGTGTGTATGATAGAAACTGGAAATTCTCACTCAATTCCTTTTTTTTTATTTTTTTTTTATTAAAAATCATAAGAATCCTTAATAAAAATTAAAGAAACATGATGATTCACTTAAAAGAAATTCCATTTCTTTTTAAAAGTAACAACAGTGAGATTTCCGGATATCTGACAGTGAAAAAATCATGACTGCAGTTCTAATTTTCATACTTGCAAAACTGGAGCAAATTTGTTTTGTAGAATTTCTTTTTTCTATTTACATAAAGGACATTTACAATACAATAGAGGATACACTTGCTCAGTTTCTAGTGTCATGTGACATGCTTACCTGCCATTTCCGTCGCGCCATGAACTGTTTCAGGTTACGCAAACTTTGGCGAAGCTTTTTGGCACTGTTTTGTTCTTTCACAAGCCATTTGTGATTGAGACAGTCTTTCGCATTGGGTCGATTTCTAAAAAAAAAAAAAAAATGTAAATATGAACTTACTTTTGTGGAACTATTTCAAAACAATCTCACATGCTCATTCATTTAATAAAACTTATATTTTTTTGTTTCATTATAACACGAACACCAATATCTAACTTAAAGTTTCCTTCTGAAATAAAAATCTTTTTAAGGAACTATACCTCCCTTTAGAAAATCATGATTATTTTACTATTTTTCCGCTGACTGAATGGTTGATTTAATTCTAAGAGTTCTGCTGTTTTAATTGCTTATCACTCATTTGAATCGACTTTTATTGTCTATTGGAAGTATATACTCAATCTTCTAACCAATCCACGTATATGTAGCAATCAATTTTGATGCAATAAAATATATTTCACATCATATTACTTAACAAAGATGGAATAACACTTTAATTTACAAGTTTTTGAAATAATTTAAAAATTAATTTCACTATTGCTATGGAAAGTAATTTGAACGGAAATATTATTGGTGCTAAAAACGAATATACCTGGTATATTCTTGAGTTAATTTTTGTAGAATTTAATTTAAAAAAAAAATCATGATGAAAAATTTCAAATGATCCAAAATTGTTTTTTACAATATTTCTTACTTTCTGTTCTGGTCGAGTGATCTCTCAATAAAATTCCTGGCATGGAATGAGATGTCTTCGAATGCTTCATCATCAAAATCAAAATCACCTGCAGTTACATTCGATAGCGTTTCAGCATCAGTATCACCCATAAAGGGAGACAATCCAGATAGCCTGAAACACAGACAAGGGAGATAACAGTGTAAAGCATTTGCCAGAGGACTATAGACTACTACAAATTTATGGAAATTCAAATAAATTTAAATATTACAAAGGAAATATATTTATATATAGTAACACTAAAAGAAACGGTTTTTTGGCTGTGTGAAGTAAATCTATATTTTGGAGTTGGAAATATGAGTCTGTATCATAACCGCCAGTCTAAAAAGATTCTGGATACTTTTGGGTGTCTGTAAAAAGGTCATGAAACTTTGGTGTCTTAAAAAATTCTGGATACTTCAGTGCTTGAAAAAAGTCTTGATATTTGGTGTCTGAAATAAGTCTAGATGCTCTGGTGTCTAGAGCAAATCCTGTATTTCTAGTGTCCGAAATAAATCTGTAATTGGTGTGTGAAATACATTTGGATATTTTTACATCTGACATAATTTACAATATGTTAGTGTCTGAGGCAAATTAAGGTATTAAGTGTCGCACATCTTAGTTTAAATTACCGAGTTTTCAATTAAACAGTAAAGAACATGTCTTCATTTCCTTATCTACATGTATAGACAGACAATTTACCTGAGATTACCAAAGTAAGGCTAACTAGGTCCTTATGCTTGGATAAGTTGTAGAAACAATTCCTTTCTATTTCAAAATACGTTACCACAGTCATTATAATGCCTATTGACTGTGGTAAGTATTTATAATAGAAATTGGTTTCACAAGAGAAACCTCAAGTTTATTAGATGGTAAAATTAAAAATTAAAAAATTTGGAAGTACACAATGCAGTTATTTTTTTTTTAGAGAGACAAAATGAGATTACAAATTATTTTGAAACAAAAACAAAACTTGGTAATATTATTTGGCTGTACAGGGAATTATAATGTTTGTAGCAAACTTACAATACATAACAGATAACTCCGATGCTCCATATATCAGTTTGGAATCCAATCTCCTCATAATTAACAACTTCTGGGGCGATGAACTCGGGTGTGCCTGAAATGGCACGGAGACTTTCACCGGGTTTGTGGAATTGAGCGAGGCCAAAGTCTATGATTTTGATCAGGTTGCTGTCCTTTCTCACACAAAGGATATTCTCTGGCTTCAGGTCGAGGTGGACGATGGACTTGCCATGCATGTAGTCCACTCCTTCGCAGATCTGGCGCAGGAAGTGCACACAGTCACGCTCTGTCAGGTCAAAATCTTCGTCAACAACTCGCTCAAACAGTTCTCCACCGCCCACACTGAAAATTTAATTTTATTATGTCCATTTTAATATTGACTTATAATTGACAATTAAAATAAGTATATATAATGACTGACTTAATACTAATATTTATTTCAATTTACGACACAGAGAGACGAACTAAATGGATGATAACCAGACAGAGTTGTAAACAGAGATAAATAGTGCATAACACTTTTAGTTTTGGTGGAGACTAAAAATTAACAGGCTTGCTCCTGGAANGGGGGGGGGGGGGGGGGGGTGTGTTAAATTTCATGAAACATCTTAAATAGCTGATATCTGTAACTAAGTATCAGATGGGCAACAAGTATGCATTGTTAATAAATGTATAATGCCTTAGTGAAATCCGTTACTGCTGCAGAAAAATACATTATTTATCCAGCAATAGACCCATGCCTGGTAATAAGCCCCCATGCCTGGTAATAAGCCCCCCTGCCTGGTAATAAGCCTGCCTTGCCTGGTAATAAGCTTGCCTTGCCTGGTAATATTATTTAAGCCCCCTTGCCTGATAATAAGCCTGCCTTGCCTGGTAATAAGCCCCCCTTGCCTGATAATAAGCCTGCCTTGCCTGGTAATAAGCCTGCCTTGCCTGATAATAAGCCTGCCTTGCCTGGTAATAAGCCTGCCTTGCCTGATAATAAGCCTGCCTTGCCTGGTAATAAGCCTGCCTTGCCTGATAATAAGCCTGCCTTGCCTGGTAATAAGCCTGCCTTGCCTGATAATAAGCCTGCCTTGCCTGGTAATAAGCCTGCCTTGCCTGATAATAAGCCTGCCTTGCCTGGTAATAAGCCTGCCTTGCCTGATAATAAGCCTGCCTTGCCTGGTAATAAGCCTGCCTTGCCTGATAATAAGCCCGCCTTGCATGGTTGTTTCATTGTCACTATTCTAGTTATTGGGATCTGGATTCGACCAAGATTTCGAGATGAATCGAACTCTACTCTTTGCCCTTATTAGGAGATACCGATTCTGCTACATCATTTTTCACTTACTATTCCATTATGAGGACCATTTTTCTTGTTGTCTCAAAGGCATCACGTAACATTAACAGCTTCGGGTGAACTAACTGGTTCATTATCTCAATCTCCCGCTGTACTGCAGCTTTGTCCTTTCCGCGACATTTGATGACCTTCGCCGCCCATTTCTTCTTATCTTTGTCATCCTTTTCCACACAGAGGTGAACGTTGCCAAATTTTCCTCTAAAAATGACACAAAATTACAATATTTAATCTTAAAACTCTCTAATATGTTTATTTGTTAGTGAATATATCAATGAGCATTTTGATTTAGGAATGAAAATATATTTCAAAATTCTTCCCCATTGTTTTAACCCAGGAGCTATATTCAAATGAAATAACTGCATAATTCAATTTTATTCCAAAGTTTATACAATATATAATTAACATAGAAAAATTGTAGACAAAATGTAGTTATGGAATTTACAGATCCCTTCCTTACTGGAGAATTCTACTTCTTTTTCATACATAGAGTAACCTCAATTAATATTTAAAAAAAATTGGCAATGCAAGGATCATTAAAATCATGTGAATTTTTCTACCTTCTCTCTAACTGAACCATTTACAGAGTTTACTTACTTTCCGACCTCGTTATGGAGTTCGTACTGATCTTCAAATTTAACATCCATCTGAACCGACACTAATCGGGGACTGAATGGGATTTCAGGTTCCTCCTCTGTTAACGAAAAACATGTCAAAGTTCAGAGGTCATTCTTTGCTTAAATTATTTATGTTATTAGGTCAAAAGTCATAGGTAACATTATATTTCCTACAAAATTAAGATCTGACCCCAAAATAAACATTTTTTTCGGTTGATGAGAGGTGACATATGACTGGGGTTCTGTTTGGGTTTTTCTTGCTAATTTTGGTCAGGACATTTTATCAAAGTGTTCAAATCCACTCTTCATTATTTTCTTTATTCTGTCATAAAGAAATGACCTGGAAAAATTAATAAATGAAATCCTGTTTCTGCTAAATTTCTAATTTTGGTATTTTTCTTTTATCAAGTTAGGAAGAAATATGCTTAAGATATAGTTTGGAATTGAGCCAAAATGGTTGCAGTTTTATAGGCAGGAATAACATTGGTCCTTGTATTAAAGGTTTCAACATATATGCTTTGTAGCCGTTACATGTTGGCATAAAACATCGGAAGACAATAATATAGTTTGTGGAGGGAGTAATTGTATAATTTTATAAATACAGTGCATTACCAAAATGATAAAATCTCCTGAAATAAAAAATTTGAATTTTTTGTTTCCAACCAATCACTTTCAGAAAAGTAAAAAATCAAAAAAAAAAAACTTTTTTTTTTTAGAAATTGAATAGAACTATACATATAACATTAATGTACACTAAACTTAAATTAACTTGTCTATGAAATTATAACTATTCAAAATAATTATTATAAACACAGTTTTTCCAAATACTTTCTTACGGAGTCTCACCATCATCATCATAATTATTTATTTAACATGATTTCATTAAAACTGTCCGTTTATTGAATTTTTTAAAATTTAAATTTCGACAAAACTCATTATATAAAATAAAGGTATAACTCTTAAAAACACATGCAAAATAGTTTATACAAAAGAAATTCACCATTTAACACTTATCCACCATAGAATGAAATAGAAGTTTAAATCAATATAAAAAGTTTATAAACAACCACCATTAGTTCTGTTATCCCTCGTACACACCAATGGACTAACCCATCCACAGTATTGGGGCATGCTACTTTGGGAATAGGGGGTAGAGCGACATATTAATCCTTACAAAATTGTTAAGTCTTGAATATATATCAATCTTTATAAGTATTTTAAAATGGTCATTTATAGCTCTGGACTTGACTTAAGTCCTTTGGATAAAATGGGATAAGGTTTTTGGTTCCACTGTGGAAAGTTTTTTGCGGGGACGGAGAAAGGGTATAGGTTCTGGATCAAAGCGAATACTATACACTTATTACTCTTATGGTAGGGAAACATGATAATTTGTTTCTCTGAGGTTAATCCTGTTTCACAAGAGTGAGCTAAAGTTAAACATGATTAATCGAGGGGACACATATAATTGTGTTTCCTTACCACAGGGCTAATGAATATCTTATGATGCTGAAATATAACAATACTCCCATAGTAAAGATGATAAGGTTGACACCTCATTGTTGTCGTCTGCTTCAGGCATTTGCAACTTGATTTTCGTGGCTCCTGCCCATTTTTCCGAATAAGGGAACTATGATTTGGGAGACTCGAGTGTGTGAGGGCAACATGATGTTTTATTGCCCGGTCATGTGATCAACATCATCCAATCAGACACACTTCTATAAAGGAGGGGTATAATAATATCTTTCACGGAATCTGGTCAGGGGAATACTTTATCCATAAACATATATTTTTTTTATCATCATTGATTATTTCCGCACTGGAACGTGAAATATTTTTTCAAAAGATGATAAAACTTTTGCTCATCATAAAATAAAATTGTATAAAAGAGCATTATTTCAAAGAAATTGTTAATACCAAGAAATAAAAAAAATAAAAACGTGAAATATTTTTTCAAAAGATGATAAAACTTTTGCTCATCATAAAATAAAATTGACAAAAAAACATTGCTCTACTTTTGCCTGATCAAATGAGCTTGTTATTTTAGTAATACGAGCATGCTGTAGCCATGCGTAATATAGGCTCGCAGAGCAGTTGAATAAGGCCTGCTCATTGGTCAGTCATATTAGGAACTGGAAGTTGTCAGTATTTGTAACTGATGTATAAAAGAGCAATTTCAAAGAAATTGTTAATACCAAGAAATAAAAAAATACATAGCAGTGAAATGATATATGAAACAATTGCTCTCATCATAAGTATGTTTCAAGATTTCTATTCATTACAAACATTCTGTTTTAATGAAAATGAAAAATTGAAGTGTACTTCAGCTGAGATAATGTCAGGTCTTGTTGAAGTCAATAAATCACTGGACATTTTAAATCCATTAACTCATTCATCCCTGAAGACACATTAGAACTCTTCCATTGCAAAGGTTGGAAAAGTCCATTATGAAATTTCAGGGAAGATTGAGTTAAATATATCATTATTATAATTCAAAAAGAATTAAATGAATTTCAATTTAAAACTGTTTAGAGTGGTCTCCCTTGCATTCGTTGACTACAACAAGAAAGACTTGGATGTTTAGTGAAACCTTGTTGATCTAAATTGTTAAATAATCCCGAAAAAACTCATTTTCTAGATGAATGTAGGTCCTAAGAACTAAATATGTAAATCAGAGTCCTGTTATACTGCCACCTTTAGCATTGCATCATTATAAAGGGGTTTGGTCATATATTGATCAAACATGTAAAGGAATCAGCAGGGAAAAAGGAGAAGAGGACCTTGAAATATGTCGGTGATAAATGGGAGGCATTATATTGGCGGTAAGCAAAATGGTCAATTAACTATTATGGCATTATATCATGGTTTTAACGTAGATAACTAATCTCAAAAATCTGTTAAGACGGACTGATTCTTTTTTGTTACAAATATACGATAGATTAACAAGGTTTCACTATGTAAATGTGAATATGGGTTACAGAGAGCATGCAGAGTTGTATATAAAGTAGTTACTATGGCAACATGCCACACGATGATGCACATGTGTGAATCTCAGCGACATTACCTTGTGGAGAGAGGGGAGTGAACGGTGAAACAGAGGCTGTCGAAGTTGACGACAGAAAAACGTCTGAAAATTTAATGTCAAATAAGACTACAAGATCGGAACATCACAGATTACAGACTTCTACACTGCGGCCCCACCACTGAGTTTTCTCTCACAGTCTGTCCAGAATGTAGCTTCCATGGTGATAATTAGAGTGTCCAGAAAAAACCTCATATCAAAAGCGTGCCTGATGGCCATTTCCCATGATGCTTTGCACCCAGTAATAATGACATGTGATGTAAGAGTTATCAACCAATCCCCAATCACACTTCCTGTTGCCATGGCAGTAAGCTTAATACTCTTTTATTAATATACACTTAAAACCACAATTATTTCATTTTTTATATATCCTATGAAAAAATCAGCTCCTACTTCGACCTAATATTATACTGGTAAATCCAAATATTTGATGTGAATCGGAAATTTATTTATAAATGTAATTTGTAGGATTTGAGTTTGGAGTTGTCCTTCTCATCTGTATATAGTGATTCTGGAAGACTCTTGACTTTATCTGAAGTCGAAGATTTGCTCATGCTAAAATTACAAATATATTAGACAGAATCTAAGCAGAAAGTACTTTACAGGTCTCGTTAGTATCAAATACACTTACATTATACATGTATATACTGTCCAAATATTATTAGTATTTCATACGTTAATAATAGTTACACTGATGATCATGATGCAATGTTTTCAGTAAATCTATGAAGCAGGGTTCACTAGGGGGTAGGTTAATTCACACTTGCCAAGTATGTCCTATCACGGAGCTTGACATCCTATTTTGCAATCAGTGAAATTCATTAAAATCTATTTTCTAAAATTCAAATTCAGTTAATTATTGATTAATAGCATAAGAATTCTTAAACAGTGGTATAAATTGTAGTGTCAGAATGCCAAATAAATACACATTTGATGGAAGTAATTTTTAAAAATTTAAAAATTTTGTTGGACTGTTTCTTCACCAATGATATGTAATTCAAAGAATGGCAAGTATGAGGGTTCAAAGGTGCAATATACATCAGATGCTACATACTTGAATTCAATACATTTGCAAGAATACATGGGGTAAACTAGTGGTACTGATTTTATAAAAAAAATACATATCTGCCAATTCTATTTCTCAAATGCTGCAGCATGCATGTTAACTGAATATTTATTCTAAGATTGTCATGTCATGCAGTTGAACCACCAAAACATGGGGGATGAGGATTTATTTTGTTGAGTTATCTACCCTTAGTTGATGAATATATCCCCAGGTGTCACTACAGATGATGATAACAATACAAAGCAACACATACAACAGACAGAATGTGTTAGGGTGCTACATTACACCTGGGAGGTCATTTTATACAAGGTGACCTTGAAAGATTAAAATGATCTTGAAATAAGATACTTACCATCGGACTCGATGGACAGACGTTCGGAAACTCGACGATCCTTCGTAACCACGACGTCAGACGTCTCGCTATGTTTGCTCATGCCATGCTTGTTTTCAGCACTCACACGGAAAAAATACGGTGTATGTTGTGACAGATTTGATGCATGGTATGAAGTGCTCTGTAATTGGTCAAAGGGAAAGGTCAAATAGAGGTCAACTGAATACTGCATTTTACATAATAAAGATATCTGGTTTTACCTTTTAAAACAATTTGATGGCTCAGCATCAAATTTCCAGATTTTTCCCCAATTTAATGTGGCATGGTTCTGTATCGTTTGAAGGAATTAAAATTAAGCTGCCAGGGACCATTATCACATATATAGTGACCAATGCGATCCTTCAGAATTACATCCCGCTGTATAAATGGGGAAAGAAATGACTGACCTTCATGTCTCTGAATTGGGAGGAAAATAGTCAAAATACCAGAACATGCACTAACACTGCCATGTCAACACAGGCCCAATCATGTACCTGACTGTAACCCCCCCCCCATGCAAAGTGCCCTCATTACGTTAAATATGGTACAATAACCTTGATATAATGCCCCTGATCTCATTTGCCACCTTGCTTACCGCAAACTTATTTCAGGGTCCATTTTTCTTGTTTTCTTTAGAATTCCTTTATATATTTCCCTCATCTTATCACCAAACCTCTTTATAATGCCAAAATCTCTCTGGGCAAATGGTGGCAGTATAACAAGGTTTTGACTGTATATAGGAAATTACAAAATAGATATGAAATGCTTGATATTTTACTGGATGTACTTGGAATGGATAAACAGGAGCGGTTATGGTAGAAAATATCATTGATGTAACAAAAACGATATTTATTGATGAACTTAATTAATCTTAGATTTTAACATCCTTAACTCACTCACCCCAAACATTTCATAATGAACTATTCCAACCTTTGAATTGGAAGAGTTCAAATGTGTCTTCAGGAGTGAATGAGTTAAAATTTGTAACAAGTTATAACCAAAGTTGTAATATGAACATGACAGACCAATATTACTTACATGGCATTTATCAGTAAGGGTAGACCACTCTTCGTATTCCGCCTCACAGTATTCCACTTTGTAGCTGGAAATGAGGCTGCCTCCGTCAAATGCCGGGCCAGACCAGGACAGAATCACATAGGTAAGTGCGATCTCTGAGGCGTATGGCTTCCCTATCGGAGGGTCCGGTACATCTAGAGTATAAAGCAAGGATCGTAAAGAATTTTGATAGTAATGTTAGCTATTCCTATCCATGAGGGGCCATAACTCTGTCAGATATTGATGAAAAGCTATAAAAGTCAGCAGCCACTATCTTTACAATAGGTAATCTGGGCTAACAGTGTGTGTATACACAGTTTCTCCAAACAGTAAAAATTGAGGTGTATGATATTTTTATGACAGACCACCTACATGTGGGGACCCTATACTAACGACCTACTGCACACAGCTAGTCAAATCTTTAAAACAAAAAAAGACTCAATAATTACAATCAGATAGAAAAGATAATGAAAATCAGATACATTGTAGTTTGAAACTTGAAAATATTTGAAATTGTAAATATGATTAAGATGGTGTTTTGTCGCAGATACCATCACAAACAATGCAAATAGATTACATTGATTGAACTGATTTAAAACCCATACTTATCCAGGCTATGAACATTCCTTAAGCTAAGGAGCTCCTTAACTTAAATATCTTCATAGGAAAAGCATTATGCATTTTAAGCTAGGGAGCTCCTTAGCTTAAGGAGCGTTCATGAAACTGCATGGGGCCAGCAATGTCAGTTAAGATTATTTTTTTTACAAATGACAACCCCTTTGAACTTTCTTTCATTGAAAATTGCCTGCCTAGAATAAAATGACATTTTATTAAAAAACTTCAAAAAAGGTTAAAGCCTCTTTAACATCTTTCACCAAACATTGTCAAAAAAATTTAAGCTAACAATACAAATTTTTCAAATTGTAAAAACAATAGTTTAATAAATCAATTACGAAACTAGAAAACATCTGTGTGACATGATATTCCATTGGATCTGTAGGGGGGGGGGGGCATATAGCCCTTTCATAGGCCATCTCTATTTGATTAATTAGACATCCCTGAATAGGTTATCAATCCTATTAACAGCTCTGAAGAGGCCCATTATTACTAATAAATAGGACAGCTTTGAAGAGGCCCATTATTACTAATAAATAGGACAGCTTTGAAGAGGCCCACTCTTTATAAATTAACCAGACACTCTGAAGAGGCGGTGTATGACATACCTTCTACTGTGATAGCCATGGATCCGGTATCTCTGCCGACGTCATTTTCCACATCAATGTCATAGATTCCCCCATCGCCCAAGGTCACGTCATAAATGACGAGGCGACTAAAGTGTTCGGTTGTGTTGATGGTGTACCTGTCGCCTGTTTCGACCTTGACCTTGTTCTGTAGCCAGGTGATGTTTGGGCGTGGCTCAGCCGTAAATGAGACCTGTACCTGCGCTTTCTTTCCACGCAGGACTGTGAGATTTGGCGGTGAGATCTCGTGGATGTGCGGGGCCTGATGACCGTTTGTTTCTGTATCATCTTCTTCTGTTGATGTGGCTAGGCAGTCTGTGAAAATAATGTACACATCATAACAATATGTCTTTTCACTCACAAAAAAAAATCTGTATTCATAGAATTTAACATATAGTTATACCCTTCTTACAGCATTGCTATCCTAACAAAAACCTACCTTTAAAAAATAAATAAATAAAAACAAAATACAATAAATATTTCATGTAATGCCCCTTGGTCTATTCGCTAACTTGATTACTTCCAAAATATTTCAACCTATCCTTCTTTTTTTTTTTTTTAAATAATTCCATTATATGTATCTCCCAATTAAACCCCTTTATAATGCCAAAATTTGTCTGAACAAAGGAGGGCAGTATAATGAGGTTTTAGTCTCAGTCTAAAAAGTTCAATGAAAAAGATGTCAGTTCTTAATATTACATTTAAAAAACTGAATATCTTAAAGTTTTACTATGATAACAGAATTCAAAAGTACAAGTACTTAATATTCCGAAAACATTCCTGTAAACATTTCTGTAAACATTCCTGTAAACATTCCTGAAAAAAAATCCTGTAAACATTCCTGTTAACATTCCAATTATAGCAGTGTTGATGTTTATGATATTGTTCATGCTAATTTAAAAGGCACTACGTATACAGTATAAATATAACCAATGATTCCCGTGTGTTATAAACACATATAACCCTAAGTCTTTATATAGGTTTCATTTGAAAATTGAGGCTGTTCTGTGGAAATATAAGATACGGTACCTTTGACGCAGAGGACACAGGATTGGCGTTCTGCGCCAACAACGTTAGATGCAACACACAGGTACTCTCCGTCGTCTTCGGGATACGCCCCTTTTATCACCAGTCTGGCAGTATCTTCAACATACGTCATTTGGAAAAACTTGGAGGGCTGAAACCGCAAAGAAAGGCACTCCAGTTGCTTGGAAAAATGGGTGTTAAAAAATCTTGAATCAAACGTTGTGAGATCTGAAGCCCTCGAAGCCAAAAATTGTCACGTTCTCAAATTTTGAAATTACATTTTGACACTGTACTGTATCACTGGAACGAAAAATAACCTATTTTGTTAATTCACGTTTCGGTATCTTCATTAGTGTGGTACTTCTGTGACTCAACGACTGACACTGAAACAGCTTCCCAATGTTTATATCTGTACTGTTGGGCAATCATTATCTCTGTGTCTGTCAAAGCCTTGAAACCTCTACCACTGTCAGATACATATATACCTCCCAAAGTTATTCTGTCGATTTCACTAACAGAGTAACAGATGGCCAAGTCACCACTGTAATTGGACTGGTCTCGTATATTTAAAGCTCTGTTAGCTTGAAATTGGTTTACAAATGTAAATAACATTTCCATTCATGTTATTCATTTCAAGTAAAATTTCATAACTTCTATAATGGGATTAAAATGATTATAGTTTTTGCAAGATGATTAAATTTAAGCATAATCCTTTTAAGGAAAGAAAATGAGAAGTTAGATTGAGAAATTTGATTAAGTGGTTTGATAAAAGCTAACCATGCTTCATGTATTTAATATATGTGAGAATGAAACATTGTCAGTCTGTAGCCTGTTGTTGAAAGCCTGCTCAGCTTAACGATGCAGTTTCTTTTCCTGAATTTTTCTACATATTAGAGCCATATGGTACAAAAAATGTATCATATGACAAGCAACATTAGAGTATTATATTCATATAACTATAGGTATATTTGAAAGAAAAAAGGTATATATTATTTGTGTAACTTATTCAATATTTCTAAGCTAACTTGTCGGTTTCATTCAAAAACAGGACATGGGTACAATGCTGAATTAAATACTACTGTACGTGTACATTACTTCCTTTCAATTTCGGAGACCATAAATTCATCGAACACAAACATTATAATCTAATCTAACAAAGCGATCTAAATTGAGTAAATGAATGTTTAATGACAGAAAGATAGAGATCTCTGATCAGTCAAGCATGGGAACAGGCCACGCAAGACAGGTAGCCGCTTGTCAGCCAAGCAGTCAGCTGACTATGGTTTGTGTTATAGTAACTATACATGTATATATATAGCTGAACCAACAATTCCATCCCGGCTGTACAGAGTTGAAACTTCTTACAGACAAAAAATATCTATCTGGATTGCATAACAGAAATTATTACTGTATTACTATACCAGGAATTTTTCGCCCTGTCAAACTTTCACCCAACTACAATAATATCAATATTCGCCCTTCACATTTAATTACAATGAATATTGTGTTGTTTTCTTAAGCTCTCTTAAATGATGAATTTGCCCTCATTAGAAGAAGAGCAAAAAAGGCGAAAAATGAAACTCCAGCGAAAGTTTCCCAGCATGCAATATGCCTTGCATAGGAATCCTGAAATCTGATTGGTTGAGACAACTTTTGAATTCCTATGATCACAATCTTCATTCACCTACCTTTATTTTGTTGTTGTTCATGAACCATGAGACTTCAGGTCTTGGGATTCCAGTAACTTGACATTCAAATATCACACACCGTCCCTCTGGGATGGAAATATCTTCCAGCGTCGATAAAAACGATGGAAGTTGGTTATTAACTTTGTCGATGCTGCGACTTCTCACGAGTCGCACCTCTTTATGTTCAGGACTAGACGGTGTTCTTTTATTCTTATCGGATTCTGAAGACATTCTTCTTGAACGTACACCATTTATAACGACAGTTGGTGTTGTTTTTTCAACTGTTGTTGACACAGGACCTTCAAATTCTAATTTTGTCATCTTAACACTGTCAGAGTCTGACTTTTGTGAAGATTCTGACTTGTCAGACTCTTGACTTGCTGTAGCGGTCATGTTCCTCGATTTCTTGCTCGGATTTCTTAGTGTGATAGGTGTGTAGGGCACCGCTGGAGTAGCACGTACGATTCCGCTGTCGTTAGTTTCAGATTGTACAGTAGAGTCATCACTTCCTGATGGAAACGATTCTAAAAGATTTTCACTGGAGTTATTGCTCCTTAGACTGGAGAACCCACTAGAGGGGGTGTTTCGTACACTTGGGCTGTCAAAATGCTCTTTCACCCAGGATGGGGTGGTGTTGCTTGGATACGAGGATTCAGAGTCAGCAAAGCTATCCTCCGTTGTCACAGAAGCACTTTCCTCGTCATCCACCATCGCTTGAAGTTCCTTCATAGTTGGTCCTCCAGGCATTTTTAGGAGCGACTGACCTATTACGTTAATCTCTTCCAGGGTTTTGTTGATTCTCTCTTCGCGTTTTGTTTTCGGAGCTACAGGTGGCGGAATTTTCAAGGCTGGAGACGAAGTGTCTTTTCTAACAGTATTTTTCATCTCACTTTTGATTGATTCATTCGTGACTGGCCTCTCAAAATTTTTAAACGTTGAGTTTTTTATTGGTTCGTCCAATTTAGTTGGTGTGAACTTTGATTTCATTGGTTCATCTGTATTGTCAGATGTGAACTTTGATTTCATTGGTTCATCTGTATTGTCAGATGTGAACTTTGATTTCATTGGTTCATCTGTATTGTCAGATGTGAATTTTGATTTCGTTGTTTTCTCTGTAAGAACTGGCATAAATTTTGATGAAATTGACTCGTTTACCTTTCCAGGTGTAAATTTGACTTTCACTGGCTCAACGTTTTCCTTTACAGTTTGTGAAACGACAGGTTTTTCCAAAGCCGTTATATAATTGGAAACCTTTCCCTTGGACACCTTCCGGTCTGGCATTGACTTTGTCACACTTGTAGTACCGTTTGACATAACTGGACTTTTCAAATTTGCAATACTTTTTGTGATTGGGCTTTGGGTTGGCTTAGTGACACTACGAGTGATTGGCTCTTTAACAGTTTGCGGCACTTGGTGTCCTGTTCGAGCCTTCAACACGTTTCTGAAGTCAATTTGATTGACTCCGGTTTTTTTAGGATTGGCAGGAGAGTTACCCCTTGTGTCAAGAGGCACCTTAGGGGACACTCCCCTAACACGAGGAGGCCCTTTGGGGCTAGAGTTTATATATTTTAGCCTGCCGAGGGAAGCACCTGCTTTTATCCCCCTTGTAGTGCCAAGGTCAGAACTATCGGATCCTGATGAACTGCCCGATTGTCCGTGCTGTTTAGATGAAAATTGTGATTCTTCTGATTTCTTATGCTGTTTTAATGAATTCGGTGATTCTTCTAAACGTCTGTGCTGTTTTGATATAAGAGGTGATTTTTCTAAATTTTCATGCTGTTTTGGTAAAATTGATTCTTCAATTTTTTTATCCCTTTCTAAAGAAAATGGTGATTCTTCCAATTTCCTGTGCTGTTTTGATAAAATTGGAGGTTCTTCCAAATGTCTTTGCTGTTGTAACAAACTTGATTTATCGTCAGTGTTTTTTGTTTGTTTTGAGGAATAAACTGGCACTGTTTTGCTGTCGGGCACTTTTTGTATTGTCTTTTCCAATAATTTAGTTTCAGGTTTAACAGTTTTGCGTAATCTTACGCTGGAAAACTCCGGTTTTGTTTCCCTCTTGGTCACTGAGGAAGATTTGGCACTTTCTAGATGAGATCTAAAATGAATAATACAAATTGATATTTAATGTGACCAAAAAAAAAAAGATTTTTTTTTATCATAAATGGCATCAGTATCCTTTACCAATGGATTGGGCTCCATAAAGGATGTTTCTCAACGCCAATGGATGGGGCCCAATAAAGGGTGTAGTTCATATATTTTTTTTGAGACAGAACTACAATTTGTTCTGTACTCTATAAGATTGAAGAGTTTTCAGCACAGTGTCAGTCATGTAATATTCATCTCCAATTATTATATTTAATAACTATTCATGATTTTCAAAACAGTACTGATTATCATATTTCTAATATGCTAATATTTAAAAAAAAATAAAAAATAAAAAAAAATGCAAGATTGCAATTAATAATTGCACTGGTCAATATGATTTTTCTTAGCACATAACAGTGATTATATATCTTAATTTTACAGAAGAATTTTTCAACTTGTGATTCTGATTGAAACAAACTAACGTTTTTTTCAGCACAGGACTGTGAAGATTCCGACCCTGGGTGCGGGTGTGTCCAGGTATGTCGTGTGTACTAAGTACAAGTCTGGTGTCCGTGGATGCTGTACCGACAGGATTCTTCAGGGTACAGGTGTACGTTCCCACATCAGACTCCGACACACCCTTCACTTCTAGTGTGATGTCGTCTCCATTTTTAATCTTAATAGCAAGACAATATCATTAGTAACTTAGAGTGGACCTAGCTTAAAATATCTTGTAAAGAATCCCTCCAATGCATTGAAACAAAGATGGTAGTGAGTGTTTTTTTTCCATTCCTTTCATGAATTAAAACCTGCATCAAGAATGTGTTTGAAACATAAGCCCTTGGGATTAATATGACATGCTTCAGGTTAACAAATCTTCATATCTCTTCATAAAAAAAAAAATGTTAGATAAATTCAATAAATACATACCTTATATCTGCCTTGATTTGAGATGATCTCCCCTTCCCTACTCCACTCAACACTAGGTGGCGGTACTCCAGATGTCCTACACAGAAATATTGCACTATTCCCAACACTTACAAATGCTGTTCTTGGTCGTAAGACAAATGCTGGTGGTCTTAAATCCTTGTTATCGTGGAACACGTCGCTCTGGTCCTTGTCGATTGAATTGTCATCTGTTTTGTTTGTAATTTGTTCACTTTTATTGTTCAAATTTTTGTCATTCACATGTTCAAAAGTGTTGTTCACATGTTCACTGGAAACGTTCCTTGTATTGTTTACTTGCTCCACTTGTAATTGATTGTCTATTCTACGCTCTGTATAAAATGGATTGGGATTCAAAATTTACAAAAAAATAAAAAGGTTGAAAATAAAAGGAAGAAATGGAAATCAACCAAACTGAAATAACATTATATGGAATGTTTTCAAAAAGAGAGAGAAAGAGAAACTTAAAATAAGAAAGAAACAAAAGAACTAAAAAGACAGAAAAAGAAAAGGATGTGTTTGCTAGGTAGATCTTGTTTTCTTTTGGAGGTGAGACTGGGAACGGTCAGATTCTGCGAAAGAGAAAAAGAGAAAAAAGAACTAATTATAATGGATTCTTAGATTTTGTAGGAGGAGTTGAATATTCTATTTCTCATCATTTTTGTTTCAGAATTAATTCAAAATTTGATAAAGCATAGAAAGCTATTGAGTTAAATTTAGACCAATACCAGGTATTTATATTTAAACTCCAAATATTTATGATTTTTTTTTTTTTTTTCAAAAATAAGAAACATTAGATTCAGATGAGAAATATAATTTTCAAGTGGTGTTAAAAAGTCAAAGCTTCATTTCTTGTGTTTTCTGCAAGACTACAAAGTGACAGCTTTGTTAATCTCAGAGACCTCATGACACTCCAAATAAGAATTTTGACCTTTGAACCCCAACTACATGCATTAATGACATGCATCAGAAATGGAATTGTAGCAACCAAATCCATTCATATTGAAGGAAGACAAGATCAGTTTTGTTAAATTTGAGATATTTCGATTTTTGTCCAGAAATTACCTAGATAAGGGTAAACACTAATTGGAGAAATTTTTATTTGAAACAAAAATTATATTTTCAGCCTCAAAGGATTGTGGGAATTTTTCAGAGAAATTATTGGATGTAGTTGCCATTCCAGGATTCATCTTTCTGTACACATAAGGTGAAGGCCCTGAAACTGTACAGGAAAGATTTCTCCATCATTTTTCCATGCTGTCCATGCTAGAGTTACTCTTGTCTGTTAGGTCCTGAAACTGTACGGACAAGAACTAACCCTGAAGGTCATGCCTTCCATGCCAATGGTCATGCCATCTCCGCATACATTACCTGCCACACAAAGCTGACAGTAAGTCTCGGCACGACCTGCCTCGCCCTGTACTTTGCACATGTACTGTCCAGCATCTGTGCTAATGACTTCTGAGATGTGTAGTTCGTGAACGTTACCATGCGATATGACTTTGGCGAACGGATCATTGGTGGAAATTTCCTTATTTTCATGCAACCATAAAACGTCCATAGGTGACATGCCTGAAAATGAGGCAAGAAACATGCATAACAAAGACACAGATAAGAGATTATATAACCCTTAATACAGGATCACATTCCGTTGGATTTTAATGTTTCAGCAAGGACAAGCTAGAGATTATTATTTTTGTCATCTGTATGTTAAAGAATATCTTCATCATCCAAACAACTTAAAGTTTATCTTCATCATCCAAACAACATGGACATTAATTTTATCATCCATATGACTTAGAGATTATCTTAATCATCCAAATGACTTAAGATATCATTTTTATCCTCCAAATGACTCAGATTATTTTCATCATCCAAGTGACATAAGATATTATTTGTATCATCCAAGAGATTATTTCTTCAACTTATAAATGGCATATCTTCCTATTTTTGAGGTAGACATGACTTTTCGCCCACAATTCAGGTTTTCGAAATCAGCAGTTTCCCTTTGTCATATCTTTTTCTAAAGATAAATTATTTATTGTATTGAGCAGTATAATCTATGACATTAACATTATCACTTTGACAAAAATATGAATTATTTTAAGTATTGTTTAGATAAAAAAAAATATATCCCACTGAGATTTCACAATTGAATGAGGTCATTGACTGAAAAAAATATAATCATCTTCTGGTTTTAAGTCAAATTTGATATGAGGGTTAGACAAAGGTGAAATTTTTAGTGAATGCAAATGCCTTGCAACCCTTCATATATTTTGTAAGTCAGTGAAAAATTAGATTCGGAATAATGTCATTAAAGATATAACGAATGCTTAGTAATTTATTAAAATTTATTATAGATGTCTATTAAATACCCTTAGTACCAAAACTAATACATTGTATTGGCAAATTTGCAGCATCATAATTTTTTAATTTTATTTTTTAAAATAAAATAAATTAAAATCTTTTTGATAAAGATTATATATATGATTTGGCATCTGGCATTCTTACCATACCCTGACTTTAATGAAACGGACTATAACTGATAAATTGAACTTGTTTATTATTGACTATTGTATTTGTTGTGATTTGATGTGGTAATTTTCATAGGATTTACTTTTATGCAGAAAAACTGTTTCAGCAAATGTGGCAAAAAATTGATTCATTTGAAAATAAAGATGTTTATAATATCATACAAATTAATTGGCAGACATTTCAAACATGCAAAGTAAAATAAAACTCTTATCACCTGTAACATAACATTATACAGCAATTTACATTTTCAAAAATTCACAAAAATATATGGAGGTCAAAGGGAGATAACTCAGTTCCCTACATGCAGACCTGTAATACACAGAGAGATCTGCGTTACGAAGTTTGCATAAAATGAACAAATTCTAAATTTCAAGAAAAAACTCAAAAGAAAATATTAACAGTAGCTAATTTATATTCTTTCAGCCATTTTCAGTTTTCAGGAAATAAAACATGCATTTTTTTCACAAAACCCGAGTTTCAAATCATTTAAATAATATTATTAATTACAATATTTTTCTCTGATATGATTGAAAACATCTCTAGAAATACATGGCAGTCTTACACACATATATGTTATATATATATATGTATTTGCAATACATACAGAACAGTGTTTCTACTCATTAGTAAACAAAAACTCGGCATTTCAGCTACTTTCCAACACAGCAGAAAACACAAAAACTTCGAATTGCTATTTACCATGTTTTGATGAAAACAGGGCGAAATATTTAAAAATCAGGACAGTAATTTTTTTTTTTGCAAGTTTCAAACTACATAATCTTGGTAGATTTAGTTATAAAATGTATAATGATGCAAAAAGTGGTGACTTGTATTCAAGTTATAACTTAATGAATGATGAGATGAATGTTATTGAAGAGCTTTTATTTCACAAAAACATGGTAAATGTGTAACGTGCAGATTTAAATTTAGAGAAACTTACCTTTGACCTCCACGGAAAGCTCCACCCGGTCTCCATTGTCGACCTCCATGTCGTGTAACTCCCTCACGAATGTTGGAGGTTCTCGGAAATCGTCTGTTGATTGGTCTTTTGTCGCTATAGAAACAAGACATGTTTATAACAGAAACTATTACAGAAATATGAAAGACAAGTTGCAGTTCATGCTAAAATAAGCTGCTGTTTAATATTTTGTGTGTTTATGGTAATGATTATTTCCAATAATAAATTCATCGCTTTAGAAAGAATCTGAGTAAATTATTGACATCAATTTTGTAAATGATAATTTTGTTTTTCACAAAATACTCTTTGTCAAATATGTTTAGGTCAAGTTGAAATGAAAACTAGTACATGTATGAGTGTAAATAGCCTAATTAAATTTTTTACCCCTAAAGTCACATTTGAACCTTACCAAAACAAAGACTGGGTAAGTCCAGTTTAAATATGTAGGGGTGAATGAGTTAAAGATTGGATGCTTACATGATGTTATGGTGATCTTCGCCTTGATCTGGTCTTTCCCAGCCTCATTTTCAGCCACACATTTGTAGGTGGCACTGTCAGTATCCTTAACATGTGGCATGACGAGTCGAACGGTAGATCCCTTAAATTCCATTGTGCTCGCCTCTGTGGACGTGAGCTCCTCTTTCTCCTTGTACCAGTGCACTGTTGGGCGTGGATAACCTGGGGACAATAGAAATACATAAGGGTTAAGGTCACTCAGAAATACATAGGGGTCAAGGGCACTGGGATATGCATTTCGGTAAAGGTCACTTGGATATACATTTGGGTCAAGGCCACTTGGCTACACATTCGGGTTAAGGTCGCTTAAATATATACATTTGGGTGAAGGTCACTTGTATAAACAATTGAGTCAAGGTCAACTGGATATAAATTTGAGTCAAGTTCATAGTTAAAATAATGTTTTGTTGTCAAATAAAGAACTTAACCATGAGAAATAAAGATTTATAAATAAAATTACCATAAAAATAAATTATCATATTTTTATCATATGATTAACTAAACTCACAATTAAGTAGTTATTTCATTACTGAGTTGTCTGCCCTTACCTGTAACTTTAGCTTCCAGGACCAGCTTATCCCCGACCCTCAGTGATTGGTTGGATAGAGGGTTCACAAATTTGGGCGGAATGGCACGAGTTCCCGCAGCTACAAAGCACAGAACAACTTGTATTAGAATTCAAATGAACTTCCATGGTATTTTTACTTAACATAGCTATCCAATTTGTCCTGAAAATTTTGTATCAGCTAAAGTTTGTTAAAATCTAAAGTGTTTGACAGTGTTTTAATCCTGCTGAGCTAGCGTGGTCGGATTCACCCCTTTTGTCGAACTTCTATATGCTGTCTTAAAATGATGCTAAAGATGGTTTTAATATCTATTTTTATAGATATTAAATAAACTAAAGAACAGTTAGAAAAACACCTTCCGAAAGACACTACTGGGTGGTGGGTGGGGCAGTGTATAACACACTCGCCTTTCGCTGAGGCGGCCGCGGTTTGATTGTCCGATCAGATGTGAAAACATATTATGGGTTTTCTCTGGGTACAAGGGTTTCCTCCCACATTAAGAACTCCCATGGACTAACATCCAGACCAACAAGATTTATTAATCTAAGTTGTAATAATTTGTTTCATAACTGTTGTAAAATGGATAAAGTTTATATACAAAATAAAAAAAAAAAAAAATTAAGAAAAAGGACAAAAGAAGGAAAACAGATACTTTTGTTCGTGAACAATCTACAGTGACATACCATCAGTACAATAAATCTAAAATTAAAATTTTACACAATTAATTTTGGCTTTTAATTTGAATGAATTATATTGATTTTACATCTCAATCAGTCAATCTACATACATTTCATACATTAACATTTATTTTGACAATATATGCATCAATTTCTGTTTTCTACCTCCCAGAAAAACAGTGATTGTTATTAAAGTTAAATTTCGGAGACATCGCCTCAATGTTAAAATACATATAGGTTAAGAAGGAAATGGCCACTTCAAATAAACAGGCATAGATAAACACGATTACTCATTGGCCCTGACATGAAGTTATGTATGATGAAAGTTTAATTGATATAGACCACTAGACTATTATCTGTAAGGCATTCATGAATTTTGTGTAAACTTTACAAGAAATGAATTAAGAAACCGTCACATAATTAAACTAATATAAATAAAATTTAGTGTAAAAAGGAATTTGAAATTGATTCTACATAGAATATCAAGTAATCTAATGTGTTTAAACTGTACTACAATTCAATTAAAGTGAACAAAAACAAGATGGGAAAATCACAGCAGGAATAGACTGTGGCGAATAAGTTTTGAAAATTAAGCAGCAGAAATCTTGAAATGTACATACATATTTGGGGTACTAACACATTTTTTTCCACATTGAAAATAATTTTGTGCAATTATAGATTTTTTTAATTAAAAATTACTTTCATGCTTCACAAATAAGTCCTTATTTAATGACTTACCAAAATCTTGTATATATATATCATTAAAATCCCCTGATAATTATCCTTCTTATTGAAATTTTTGTAGTCCATAAGTTTAACAAAATACCACCACCAGTAATCCAGACATCCACTTAACACGCTAAGAACTACACCACAGAGAAATTGAATCAACACTTATCCTCAAGTTTTTCACACGTCTTACAATAAAGATTATGTGTTGTCTGCTTCGTGTTATATTATGTACACAAATCCACGCATTATATAATTATACACAGTTATATTAAGGTGCGGACCAGAAAAAAACAGGGTTCATCTATGAATGAGCAGCATTCATTTGTCAATGAACTGCATTCATCTGTCAATGAACAGCATGGTTTACATAATCCCAAACAAAAGACTTAAGATATCATAATCACAAATAAGTCCTTCTGCCGAATAAAACACGAGTCTTTTCACGCACAAAGTGTCAATGTCCACAAGTTTCCAGATAGGAAAAATCTTAAGCATGTTGTGGTTAGGAAAGTTTGAGCATATAATGAAAGAGTTCATTTCCGGAGTCCAAGCAGTATACTCTGGGCTGACAGCTATAAAAACCCAGCACAATGGGTCATGGACACCAGCCAGGCTCTATCGAGTCCCTAATGAGTACCTTTACTTGTATAAGTATGTATACAATTACTCCGGCCTTTGATAAGGAGGAAATTAAGCTTTTATAACATTTCAACTCATTCATGTTACAACCTAAGTGTATTTGTGAGAGCTACAGTATGGTTTTCTAACATATAGGCAAGTGTAATTGTGTTGGTGAAGTACCGAAGTTTATTGAATGTAAATTTAAGTTGACTATGGTCTGTATTATTGAATTGGAAGTGTTATAATCTTAAATATAAACAAGAATTAATCTAAAGTAATTTGTATGTTAACACTTTTACACAATGTACATATGTACAAAGCAGGATCATGGTCATATATATGTTTATATAATCTAAAGAACTTGTTATTTAGAATTTAATAATAGCCGTTTCAATATATAACAGCCTGGTGGTCTGATTATGGAAAAAAGACTGACAAATCAATTTTGCATTGGTTTTGCTGAGCACCCCCCCCCCTCCCTAATCCAGTCACATGGGTCATGCCCTCTCCTGCCCCCTCTATATACTGACAAGACAATGTCAGTGAAGCAGATCGCTTAGCCTTCCTCCAGTGTTTCTGACCTTATCCCCTCCCTGCCTCTCTAAGTACTGACTAGACACTTTCAGTGAAGCTATTATGTCTTGGTCTCTTGTGAACTTACCTCCCCCACCCCGACCTCACCCCCGACCTCACCCCCTCTTCTCCCCCATCTTCCCCCCTCCAACTCTCTCGTACTTACTAGACACTGTCAGTGAAGCAGTTGTTTTCGCCTCTCCACCAGTGTTCGTCACAGTACACTGATATTTCCCACTGTCTTTGGAGGCGACACGGGTCAACACCAAACGAGCCAGGCGTCCATCAAATGATTGCTTAGCCAGAAAGCCGGACGTCAGCAGACGGCCATCTTTGTACCAGGACGCTGAGGCATCTATTGCATCTAAAACAAAATGTAAAAAATATTATTTCCTTGTAGTATTTTTTTCATTTTCACTTTGTTGTAGAGATTAAATCAAGACATATATAATCCGTTTGTACATAACCTGTCGTACTTGTGTCATTAACATGAATATAAATGCAACTGTACAATGAAAAAATTTAGCAAGTGCATACTAACAGTAAACAGCAAACACGTAATTTGAGATGATTTTGTATCATATACAAAATTTATTCTAAAATATCAATTTTTTTACGAGATCCTGTCTCACAAAGTGTCGGAGATCATTTACATCATGATACGATTGTCAAATCCTGTTTCGAAAAATATTTGCCCGAGTGAAGTCATCTAGCTCTTCATTTAAATTATCATACATGAATTCATATCAATGGAAATATACAGCACACCACAGTATCGTAATTATGTACTAAGTTATTTGAGTCGTTAAATATCCTGAGAATAATGGCTACGATATTGCCGTCTGCCATCATTATAAATAAGGAATATTCAACGTAGACACATCAAAAATCACTGGGAGGTAGGAATATTATACAGCGACTTTAATTACTGAATTAATTATGTTTATTACTAAATTTGTTTCAGCAAAACTTACTCGAGAATTTACATTCCAGAGAGACGTTTTTGTCTCCAGGAGAAACAACAAGGTCGTTAAGAGGAATGTCGACCTTTGGCGCCACAAAACCACTCTTTTTGGAGGAAGTCTGGGGCTTCACTGTAATTAAAGAAATGTATTATGTTAAAAGAAAAGTTAACAAAAGTGAGTTCATCCGTAATACAGTCTTCTATAAGTTTCTCCCTTACCTGTCCATCAAGGACAGAGATTCAAGGGTATTATAGTAAAAATATATCAGATCAATTTCTGCAAAATCTCACTTTTATGTAAATCTCGTCAAGAAATCTCATTCACAAAATCTCACGGCCAGGTTATCTCACTGCTGGAAAATCTCATAGTCATCAATTCTCACTCAAAAATTATCTCGCTGTTAACCCTTTCACCACTGTAGACCATAATGGACTCATCCATATCAATACACGGTAGAGCCTACTAAAGTTACATAGGGGTGAAAGGGTTAAGACATCTCATCATTCTGATTCAGAGTTCTGTCCTGAAATGTCACTTTTTCAATAAGTATGTTGGTAAACTAACCTTTGTTATTGCGAATCATGTCTAATTTATTTGAAAAAGAAATATTCCATATACCATCCTAGCCCTCCTACCTTCCCTATTCCGTGTTTGCATATTGCCGAGTTATCTTCTCTTGGGAGCAGGTATTGATTGTTACGTCATTGGTCTGTGTGAGAAAATTACATCGTTTTCTCAAAAATTGATGACGTTACGCTCACAAACAAGTGACGTAACAATCAATACCTGCTCCAAAGAGAAGATAACTCTGCAATAAGCAAAGGCGGAATAGAGATCCTGACAAATAAATATCCTTTAAGAATCCCTGTCCCACTTCACCGTCATTATTCCTTTATACACAGTAACCTCCCTTTAACTTCCATTTGGATATTAACTGTAGCACATTTGGGCAAGTACACTTCCGTTGAGCTCAATTGGTTTCAGTGATGGTATAACAATCTGAAGTCCAGGGTTCGAATCCCGTTCTGACCCCTCAGAATACTTTACACTCAGAACACGTTTGTTGATTATATTTTGTTTATTTTATCTCCATTATGTTTTCATATATGTCCCGAATGGTATACTTTTCTTTTCAAAAACGATCTATCAAAGCTAAAGTCATAGCAGAAAGAGTTTTGAAGACATGGGGATCCTTAAAAATACCTAAAAGTCATATGGATCAGAAACATTGAAAAGAAAATATTTTGAAGAGAAACGAGTCAAAAAGAAAATTAGAGAAACACACAATAGGGATAAAAACTGATTAAAAATACTTGTATGTTCAGAAATAATGAAAGATACTTAAAATAATGAAACATAATGGCCTTTGAATCATAAATTATCCAAACAGCTGAGAAAACTTGTCAATTAAAATACCACAATTTATCAAATCTTGTAATAAAACATCGTAAGCAATTGAAATCATAATAAGATATTAATAATGATAATTTGTATGATAATATTTCAACAAAAATATACCTGTGAAATGTAAATTCCAATTCGTTAAGAAAGACCAGCTAATTCCAGGTGTGCCCAAAATTTAACATACAGAGTCGATAGAAACGGACAAACTAATATTAAAATCCAGGTGGGAGTACGTTTTAAAGATTGATGACAAATACAGGTAAAATGTTGAATCACCTGTCACTAAATGACATAATAACGTTAAATGCTTGTTCCAAGCGGATGTTTTACAGGTAGATATGTCCATTACTATAAGCTTTATCAACTCGACAGCCAATATTTACACACATTCTTGAATATTAAATGAATTACATTTGATTTTTGACAGATTTCATGATCGAAAGGTTTTTAAAGCTTCTGAAAATTAATTAAAAATGTCGACAGCATACAAATTACGAAGGTGGAGTTACCAAATGTAAAATTATCAGTGAATCAAACAGCTATACACACCAATATTTTAACTCCTTCACCCCTGAAATTTCATAATGATTTTTCCAATCATTGATTTGGAAGGGTTCAAATGTGTCATCGGGGGTGAATGTTTTTACAGTCTTATCAGTGGAGAAGGTAACTCCCAGTTTTTATTGAAAAAGTTCAAAGTTAAAAAATATTTCACCTTTAACTGTCAATCATTCAAGTTTTAAACAGAATCAATAATGAAATGTTATTTTGCTGGAAATACAAACATCGTCAAAAGTTTTGTCCTAACTTGGCAAGTTGCTATACTTAGGAATGTAAACGTTTCCAGATCATTCTGTTTGTTAGCGCTCATTTCATAGTATGTTTGTTATAAGGAGATTTAGAACTTTCTAGCCTTCATAGACGTTATTGAGAGGTATGCAGGAGATACTATTTTATTCTGTCTTTGTTTCTCTGTCCGTGGGGCCCCTTTTCTCCTCTCTTTCTCACTCGCCCATCAATAACTGTCCCTACATTATTTCTCATTCTTTTGCTCCTTTATTCATCTCTAATTTATTCCATGTTTATCTGTTTCTCTTTTCTCTCCATCTTGTTTGTCCCCTGTCTCATCCATGTGTGCCTGTTTTTCTCATCTATCATTCTTTCTCTCCACGTTTTTTCGTTTCTTTTCTTTGTGTGTCTTTTTCTCTCTTGTTTCTCATTAAACACTTTATTAAAATCTGTTAACAATATTTTTTAAAAGTATTCTAACCACATAAAATCAAACACAGGATTAGGAAAAGTTTGAAAGTACTGTGGATATATACTTTTTACAGTTTTCACAATAAACATTTAAACAATGACCAAACAATACAATTTTAAACTCACCATAGACATCAAGATCCACGACGGCCTTGTTAGTGCCGGCAGAGTTCATGATCGTACATGTGTAACTCCCAGAATCCTCGCTCGTGACATCACGTACTTCCAACCAATGAAAACCACTCTCCTCATAAATCTGAATCAGAAATGAAGTTTACCAAAGTTTATAATATTAGCTAGAAAGGATTTTATAAAGGTATTTTCTAAATCAATTATACTAAAATTGCATGTTTGGAATGAAAATAATTAATCAAAATTATATTCAAAATACTGAAGTCACAAACATACTCAAATTAAAAATGATGGAATACTGATAAGTTTGAACAAAGTTATGTTTCCTAAAGTAGAATAAGATCAGAGATCAGGTAAGAATTATTTTAAATTGTCACTCCTGGTCCATCCAAAATCTATATAATCATCAATGTATTTTCTTGAGATTTCATTCATAATTCTAAACACATTGTACATGTTAATCCATTCACCCCGAAAGTCACATTTGAACCTTACCATATCAAAGACTGGGAGAGCCAAGTTTAAAATGTAAGGGTGATTGAGTTTATGCTAGAGGATCCTGTTAAACTTGGCAATGGTTTGAACAAGTGCTGCCAGATTCATAACCCTTGACTCATTTATCACTCATTTATCGCTAAAATTTCATAATGAACTATTCCAACCTTAGGCAGAGAGTAACTAGGATTTACTAATGGGATGTTATACCACCTACAGCGAAGTTCCCACTTATATGTCAATTCAAGGAGGATAATTCTGATATGTCTGGGGTACAAGTGTATCATTCTGACATTTCAGTCCACCAGAATTGTCATCTTCATTTTTTGTTTGTCAATTTTTAAGAACATTACTTGACAGTGAAATGAAGAGTTCAAAAAATTTGTCTAGAACTAGAAAATATTTCTAATGGATACGAATTCCCCTGCTCCAAGCTTGATGAAAATAGATCAGCAAAAGGCAAAATTTATTGAAGTCAGTGAAGCAGAAAATATAGGTCACAGTGACCTACAATTGATAAAATGTTACAAATTTCCTCAAGAATTGTATCTAAATGTGAAGCTTGATGACTTTCGATTTCTAGTTTTAGAGTGATGGAGCACACCACTATTGGTCTAACAAAGACATCACATGGATATTCTGATAGACCAATGGAAAAGTCGAAACACTAAATTGCTGGGACATCAAAAAAAAATCTGGGATAAGAACGATCTCTTGGAGATGAATCTGTTGCTAACTGGACACTAACTCATTCACCCCTGAAATTTCATAATAACCTATTCCATCCTTTGAATTGGAAGAGTTCAAATGTGTTTTCAGGGGTGAATGAGTTAAATGCTTTAGTTTGAACAGCTACAAGACTCACCTTGTATTTGCCACCAGTTGAGAGAGTTTCGCCGTCTGTTCGGCTCCAGGTGAGTTTAGTTTGTGGCGTGTCATCATAAGATGCCTTGAGTTTTGCCGTCTGCCCTTCGTTGACAAACTGACGCCTCGGCTTTACTATGAACTCTGGGACTTTTTCTTTCTCTTTTCCGGATTTCTTGTCCTTTACTAGTTTCCTGTTGTGAAAAAAACAAATCATAATTAATATTTTTTATAATATTAATTACCTATTTCTCTTTGCGTTGTTTTATTTTGTTTATATTCTTTTGTTTTATTTCTTTTTTAATTTGTACTCTTTACTCCCAAACTGATCACATTTCAAACCCAGGACAGGTTTATGGCAGAGAGGAAAAAAAACTCTGACAGAAGCCGTAAATAAGACTTGCAACTTAGCACCAAAACTATTTCAAATCGACACATGCATGCCAGGTATTTGACAACATTTTTTTATAAATTATATGCCCAGCCATGAAACGATCCCTTGTGTAAGTTTGGTTGAAGACTTTTAATTAAAATGTCATTTCACACCATCAAATGTGTTGTTGAATAAAAACATGTAATAGAATTTTAATTACCTTTAAGAGGACAATTTGTTGAATGTTCTAAGCAGAATTGAGGACAAAACAAGGGACTGAGATTAGGAGCGCCATTGTCTTTGTTTGTGTGAGAGAATAAAATGTCAGTATACATTTCACCAAACAAAGACATTTTAGAAAGAAGCCCATTGTGCATACAGCTTCATGTAATACCACTGCACAGGTAGGTGTACACAGGGAAAGATATTTTTTTTGGAGCTGCTCAACATTTTCTGCTAATATAAATTTCTTGTGTATGATCTTGGACTAGAAATGTATTCCTGTCTCTGTAATGTTTGTACCAGGTGTCAATCCTAAATATATTTCCATTATCAAAACTATTTTACTTTAAGCATATATAACTCTGAGACAAATGGTCAATGGTTTAAGAAGGGAGATAATCTACTAGATTTTCACACTTTTGTTATTTCACAAAAATAAAATAGAAATCATGAAAACTTTGTAATATATGCTTTAAATACAAGGAAACATACCCTTCCTTTTGTATGGATTTACGACTGTTTAATATTTAGAGATTGTTTTACGTGGAAAAGTTGTACTTAGATTAAATTTGATAGTGATGTTAAAAACGCTTCTTAGAGTTCCCAGAACAAGTGATGATAATTATTAAAAAAAATATGTTAATAAACAAAAATATATAAAATCAATAAAATAATTTATTATTCATTTTATTGGTTATACATTTTCATAAGGCTCCCCATTTTGACAAATTCTTCTCTTTTAGAAAACAAAAAAGGGATAGGAGCTCCCATGGAGTGGTTCATCCAGAAGTTGACATGCTTTTGTGTTACACACAAGTGTGTAGTACAGTATTACCTAACGCTGAGGTCAAGAGGGTTAACTGAAACTTAACGAGTATAGCGACCAAACCACATCAAACGGCCTTAGGGTATAGGACGAACATCTGCACAACTGCACCTCGACATCATGTGCACTGGCAGACAACAATACCATACAGGAGTCAAAATGATGTTTTTCTGTCGACTCGCTACCAAACAACAAAATGGCATTTCTATCAAATCCATAGCTGTCCAACCACCCTCATTAGGAGGGAGACTCCATCATCAGGAGGGAGACTCCCTCATTGTGACAATTTTTTTACCAATCTCCCTCGAAACTCACTCATTCATGTCCAAACTCACACAAACTCAAAATCTACATCCTGTGGTCAAATGATCTCCTAGTTACTGCAGGGTGTGTGTAACGACCATAACAGGTGTGTCTGAATCAAAGGAATGATTTTTGGAGTTATTTTAATACATAAAAAGGGAAAGATAAATTGAGCAAAACAGTATGATGTGGAATGAGGGAGATCTCCCTCATTGGAGGTTTCAGAGGTTGACACCTATAGAAATCACTTCAGTAAAAGTCTTGATATGAGCATCTCACAGGATTATAACCTAACTTCATGAAACATTTGTTTACTGTCCATTAATGATTTTTGTGTTTTATTCATTTATTTTTGTTTTTTGCAACCTTCAAAACAGTTATTTATTTATGAACATAGCCACTAATTTTAGACTTTTTGGTCATTTTGTCTAAAAATGAATTGCACTCATTTCACCTGGTCAAACTTAATGTGAAGAAAAACTGTATTAAAATTTATTGCATCAACCTTGTTTTGAATTTAAAAATAAATAAAGCTGCATAAGTACACATATTTTTTTTCTTCAAATTTTTAAGCTCACAGGGCTTTCATTTAAGTTGTGGACTAGATTTACTTTTAGAATCTTTTGTTCATCTTCAAACTGGCGTCTGTTCAGATGTCGAATAGCTTACTCAAAGAATAAGAAATCTACACCTTTGATCTATTGTATAGACGAGGACGGTTAAATTTCAGTAATTCATAATTCATTTTAAACTTTATCCTTTCTAGTTTTTGAATACTGATATAGCCCTTGGTCTTTCTTAAACAGTCCCGTACATTTATTTGTGGTTATGATAGTGAAACTTGGGTTTTTCCATTTGTACAAATGTTTCTCAAAAATGATTGTGGGCTTTGTAATATAACCTCCTATAGGGTTTACCCATTTAAATATAGCGTGACAGCACACGTCATGAAAAGAAATTTATATATCTTTGTCATAAAAAAATATTTGTATTCAAGGAAATGCTATAAACATATATCCGATTGACTTCCCTGTAAATACCAGGTACCAACATGTACAGTCCTGTATACCAAATTAAAGGCCACAAAACTTCTTTTTTCTTCTCTCAATATTTTTAGCTCCCTCCCTTGAACAATTTTCAAGATGTGATGAATTACGCAAGGGATGGTCGGGTGGCGCAGTGGATAACGCAGTCGCCTTTCACCAAGATGGCCAAGGGTTGATTTCCAGAAAGTTTAATTAAGTTTTGAATTTGAGGTATAACCTTGGCAGCCTGCTGGAGGTTTTGCCTTAACCCATTCCCCCCTAAAGTCACATTTGAACCTTACCAAATCAAAGACTGGGCAAGTCCAGTTTAGATATGTAGGGGTGAATGAGTAGTGTGAGAGTGAAATTTTTATATTTCAATATAGAACTCATACAATTCTCGACTAGTGGCGATTAAAGAATCTCACCCCTTGGGTTCAAATATTTTTATCATACTCTCTACATGTAGGGAAATTTTCAGTAAAATTTATATACACACACATATATATATATACAGGTATGAGAGATATAGGTCCTACGCCCAACTAAAGCAAACTCCATTTCACTTGTAACAAAATTTATGGCCGACATAAAACAGAGATATAACTGCAAGGAAGTGTTTTAAATAAGTGTAAATCAATGAAGTAATATTGACGTGTAAATACTTACTTGGAAACTGGATCAACCTGAAGGTCTGCAACAAAGATACAAAAATATTGATTAAACAACTGCAATAAATGCACAGGTGATACATATATTTAAAAAAAAATAATATTTATTAATACATTTTTCTTAAGGATCCCCGTACCACTGCCAAAAATGTTAACGGCAACTAACTGACTGAGCTACCTTGTAAAAGAAATTGTCCTGACCAAACTGTGGCACAATTATACCCGAAAAATATTAAGGGGAGGTCACTGTGAATAATGAAAAACTAGAGTGCAGGGGGACAGGGAACAGGGATCCTTAAATAACATTAAATATTTCATGACAGGGAACAGGGATCCTTAAATAACATTAAATATTTCATGACAGGGAACAGGGATCCTTAAATTACATTAAATATTTAATGACAGGGAACAGGGATCCTTAAATAACATTAAGTATTTCATGACAGGGAACAGGGATCCTTAAATTACATTAAATATTTCATGACAGGGAACAGGGATCCTTAAATAACATTAAGTATTTCATGACAGGGAACAGAGGTCTCCTTAAATTACATTAAATATTTCATAGTACCCTAAATGACCTAGAAAGCACCCAAGTGCCCACTGTTTCACTTCACAATAATTTACATTCTAAATAAAAAGTCCATTATTGCTATTTTTGTGGATTCTAAAAGCTTTCTAACAGAAAGTTTGACCAAATCTTAAAGAGCCTAGGGCACTTATTAAGATGAATAATGTTTTTTTGAAATAGATATTCGAGTTTTATAGACAGTTTATATCAGAAATCCCTAGACTTATACACAAAAATTGACTCATTGTGACAGATATGTCAATCTTCAAAAAAATAAAATAAGAACTACAAATGCATTACAGGGAAATATTTAGTCATTAAATCACCCAACACCAAATATCACACCATTAGTCCTATTTTAATGTCACTAAATAAACAGACATGATATAAATTCTGCTTGTTGTGGAGAAAGTTATTGCACAATATGTTCTTACTTAATTAACCCTTTCACCACTGAAACCATAATGGACTCCTCCAGATCAATGTATGGTAGAGTCTACTTAAGTTATCTAGGGGTGAAAGGGTTAAAACTTGTCGTCCATATCCATGCTGTCACTAATATACTGACTTGATATTTCTCCAGGTGTGTTGCTAACAAAATTATTTTGAATTTGCCAACACAATGTATTCATATTTGTGATCTTATATTCAGTTTGTAATATACTGACAGGATATGGAACTCAATGAGATAATGAGATTAAAAGCAACAGTTTAATAATGATAAGATAATTTCAACATATTTATTATCAATAAACATGATAAATGGATAAGAGATTAAAACTATATTAGTCCTATCAACAAGGTGATAATTTGATAATGAATACATTTTTTTTTTATCTGACAGTGATAATATTTTTCCGGTAACATAGATAATATATTAGACCTTTTATGTCTGATTCTGTTTTGCTGTCTTTCTGTGTAATAAATCACACAATTTTAAATGACAGATACAGATCCTTTCATCATAGTGTGTCTACTGTGGAAAACAATTTGTCAAAGCTGACTTTTATAATATTTCTAAATGTACGTTATCACAGTTGCTTCAGTTCTAAGGATATTTGAAATTATAATCTCAGTAGGACCTGTTTTTCCCTATCAAGATAATAGTATATTGTTATAAAGTCAGGTTTAAAGGAAGAAGACAATTTTTATGTGGCAATAAAGTCTTGTTAAATATTACTGGAAGTTGTTTAAGTCAGGTATCAGTAAAGTCAGGTTTTACTGTATATTACATGCTGTCCTTATAGTCAGGTGTCAGTAAAGTCAGGTTTTATTGTATATTACATGCTGTCCTGATAGTCAGGTGTCAGTAAAGTCAGGTTTTACTGTATATTACATGATGACCTTAGAGTAAGGTGTCAGTAAAGTCAGGTTTTACTGTATATTACCAGATGTCTTCAGAGTCAGATGTCAGTAAAGTCAGGTTTTACTGTCTATTACATGATTACCTTAGAGTAAGGTGTCAGTAAAGGCAGGTTTTACTGTATATTACCAGATGTCAGTAAAGTCAGGTTTTACTGTATATTACCAGATGTCAGTAAAGTCAGGTTTTACTGTATATTACAGGATGTCCTTCAAGTCAGGTGTCAGTTAAGTCAGGTTTTACTCTAAATTACAGCTTGATCTCTTTAAAACCAGGTGTCAGACACGTTCCAAACAGGTCAATTATCACTATTTTTTATTTTTTTTCAGGCTTGAATCACCTCCCCCCACCAGCTTTCAAACAGACCTTAGATTGTGTCATTTTAACAACTACACACTGGAAAGGTCGCTATAAAGCCTAACATTGTATCAAAGGAAGTGAGACCTTCTGATATTCTATTTTTAACCTTTCAGTATCAGGTTTTGTAAAAATATTATCGTAAACATTCAATGAGTAGAATAACTTTGACAGGAAATCACCTCTCATTCATAGCCGACTCTTGAGTGTCATGGTATGGATAAAATATCAACATCGTTTGTATTTACAATACACACATGCCTATACCCTTGAAATAGAAACCACTATCATTAGCGTTCCTTATCAAAAATATTTTGCCAGTAATGACGGGAAATTACAAGTTTACATATCATGTCATGTATATAATATTTTGAATTCTGGTTACCAAAATCTATTTTATAGGCATGCAAAAATCAAATTTTCTGAATAAAAAAATAAATAATTTAAGAGTATATTTCAATACCAATATATATATATTATTTAGGGGATCCAGAATTCCTTTATTGCCTACTGTATTTGATATAATAAGTGCCCTGTATATCCCTTATAAATGCTCTCTTTCCTTCTTTTAGTCCGAACATCTCATTCATTCAACAACTTTTGTCTTTTGTAGCTGTTTTTGAGAATTTTGAAATCAGTCTTATTCTTCCGATGTGCTAAGTGCCCAGGAAGTTTATTAAGTCAAATCTGACATATATTTACGGTATGCATAAATCAAACTTGCTGTTTATACCTAACATCAAATATTGGGCCAACAAAAACATAATGCATTGAAAAAAATAGATTTTTCTTGTGTAACTTTTGGTACCCCAAAATAAAAAAATAAAAAAAATAAAAAATGAATTTGAACTCATTCACCCCTGAAGACACATTTAAACTCTTCCAATTCAAAGGTTGGAATAGTTCATTATGAAATTTTAGGGGTGAATGAGTTAAAGCTCTAGATGATCTGCTCTTGGAATTCTGGTTGGGATCTCCTAGAGTGATCAAGAGTTATATGTCTTTGTTTTAGTTGTCATAACAGGCCTCAAATCAATAAAAAATAAACAATCATCAAACATAACCGGCCTCAAATCAATAAAAAATAAACAAAACTTCACTCACCAGTGTTATTCTGATCGTCAGTTACACTGCGGGCCAGACTTCCACCTGTAAACGACAAAAAATATTGACCAGGTAAGACTCAGGTATTTAGTTGAAATATGACAACAGGTAGACAGCAGATCACAGGTGTGCTTCTAATGATCTAATGTTACAACATACCAGAGACGTGCTTGCTGAGCTAACATGCAAAAGTAGAATTTACAAAGAAAGGACAGACAGATAGATGAAAAACACTTGGGCCCATATTCATGATTTGGTTTGGTTTGGTTTGTGTTTTACATCCAATTAACAGTTATGGTCATTTAAGGATTTAAGGACGTGCCAGGTTTTGATGGTGGAGGAAAGGTGGAGTCCCTGGAGAAACACCACCGACCAACAGCCAGTACCTGGTGACTGCCCCACGTAGGTCTTGAACCCCTGACCCAGTGATGTCAGACGCCTCAATCACATGGCTACCGCAGCCTCCCCCATATTCATGAAACTTTTTTATTTATAACTTGCTTAAATTATATTAGATGCCACGGTCAAAACATCAAGTGTAAATTACATTTTAAATTGTATTCGGTTAGAAGTCTCCCAAAACTTTGTCCAAATCATCGGCAAAATGTGAATTTTTATTTATTAAATATCACAAAAAACTTGGTTTGAGCATGAAAATGTTTTCATGATTACAGGCTTAGTTTTATCAATTAAGCTATCAGCTTATACAAATTAAAGGTAAAATCGGAATCAGCAGTGTTTTCATAATTTCAACGTTCTGGAATTCAAAATGATCCCCACAACACAATCTACATGAAAAATCGATCTTCTAAACATATTTTTATAAAAACTGAATTTGTTAATTTTCCTCAATGTATATATATGTATACATGTATGTACAACTAGAGCTTGCGCTTTCAACACTTATCCTTTTTTTATACAGAAAATCGATGAAAGTGTTTGCACCATGTAAACAAACATATATATAGGTATACAAGTTCGTGTAAATACATAGCAGGTTTATCCTACGACCTTCCCATGCTTTGTGTCTAAACCACAATGTGTATAGGGTGTAAAAATTAAATGCATGACTTTTGCACCAATTCATATTTAGTGTTAACCCTTTGAGTGCTAGTCACAACTATAGTTGCGCTGTATGTCTGTGGCCACCACTGCTAGTCACAACTATAGTTGCGCTGTATGTCTGTGGCCACCACTGCTTGTCACAACTATAGTTGCGCTGTATGTCTGTGGCCACCACTGCTAGTCACAACTATAGTTGCGCTGTATGTCTGTGGCCACCACTGCTAGTCACAATTATAGTTGCACATTCTATAAAATGGTATTTTATATGGTCAACAGCTAATCGTATTGTTTAAAGTTTAATCAAACACATCAAATAACTAATTTCCATTGGTATTAATATGTTTATTATAAGTATTATTTTTGCAATATTTTTACTAAAATTGTGACTTATGAAGTTATATCTAAATTTGAACTGCAGTGAAAAATAAATTGTCCTAATTAATTCAGCACTGATTGGTTACCATATGTTATTCTAATGTAGCACTCTAAGGGTTAATCTCCTGTCTTGTCATCCCTCTTGATTGAAATGGCCTGGGCTAAATCAAGGAGGAGCACAGTCCATTTTAAACCACAGGGGATGCCTTACACTACCCTCTAACCCCACCCCTGTGGGCTGACTTTTTGTCATGTATACAAAATGTTGATATCAACATCGCCCGCCCAGAAATTTTATGACGACCATCACTTTGACAATAACTTAATCCTCTGGCCTAAACTAAATTATCTTCACACATAACTTAGGATCAATGCATGAAAATATCTCTATAGTTGTGATGGCTTTTTGATGGCTGGCTTTCAAAGATGTTTTTTTAATCAACAACTTGGCAGAAATTGGCCTTTCATCCATCAGACATTATCAGACCCATTTCCATGTTTGGAAACCACACCATAGGAGATGTGTATAGAGAATTTATCACTTATATTAAAAGAGAGTACTTTCACATTGTCACTGAATAAAATCATTTTTTAGGAAATATTATTGTAGCTATACATTATCATGAATCAGTGACGCTTCTGTTGTTTTATCTCTGTTTCTGGTTTTTTAACAGAAAACATGATTCAGTAGAATTTGCTATAGTCTGCATAGAAATTCAACATCATCACCACGTTTGGCTCATCGCATAACTCATTCACCCCTGAAGATGCATTTGAACTCTTCCAATTCAAATAATGGAACAGTTCATTATGAAAATTCTGGGGTAAATGAGTTAACTCATTTTATCTTGTACTGGGACTGCAAGTACGTGTGATGAAACAATCACATATCCAGGTTTTTAAACAGTAGTAAGGTAATATAGCTGCATCTATATAACAGTTTGTCTTATGGGACGATATTGGTAACGTAACTGGTAAATGAAACGTTGTGTTCAAGTTTCCTGGTAATATTTCTTTTATTCGGAGCTCAAGCCTCTCTAAGAAAAGGTGCAACAGGCACAAGACCTGAGTTTCGAGCAACTGAGGCAGACGACAAAAAATGGCGCGGAAGCCTGATCATTTTAATTACTGTTGCATTATTGTTCTATTTCAGCTAAATACATCCTCTATTGTTCTTATGGTATAGAAACATGATTCCTGTTGGAAAAGACTTTAATATCTTGAAAAAGTTTCCATAAACTAAATGTTTATCAAAGATCCTATAGAAAACCTCCTAAGGTGTGATCAAATGTTGTCTCATAAGATACAAAATTTGATGAAAACTTTCTTCACGATTTGTGACTTACAAACATGGATATTAAATCCTAGATTACAGTAAATACCACTTTCAATATGATTTTAAAGGTTAAACCCTTATTTCAATTCGAATGAAACTGGAACAAGCCTTTTTCATGTGCATACGTGACTAAATTTCAATTAATAATATTGCTGTAGTCAATACAACGATCTGTTGAGAGGTCTACGTAGATCTGGGATCAATATTTCACATTTTAATTCCCGTTTCTCCTGGTAAAATGATCAGTAAAGTATATCTACATTTGATATCAGGAAATGTGATGAAATCTTGATCATTAAAACACTTCGAACCCCAACTATGGTCTTCAAAGTGCTTATAATGTCTCATGAAGAAAAACCCACATCAACAAAAAGATCGTCTTACACCTGTGCTGTCTGACCTTGCTTTAAAGCTGTCTTGCATTTTTGACCATTCAGAACTTAGCAACCATTAACATGTTAAGTTGTTTTTAAGTGTTTGTCCAAAGTCCGGAAATTTCTCTGAATGTAGCAGAACAATTAATATCTATTAAGACTTCCTTAATTAACATTCTTGTGTCATATGACAAAATAATTTAGAACTGCACTTTGGAAAACAAAATATTGTTGATAAATTGCTTGTACTCAACGAAAGTATTTAAAACATCTTTTTTTTTTAAAGTAAACTATCCTGTAGATATTCACATAGCTTAGCATATGACTGGTTGATACAAACTAAATTTCACCACCTGTTTTTGTTTACAATATTCAGATATTAATAAACTCACCAAAAACTAAATTTTCCTGGCATATTTATGAAATACATAAAAATAAATAAATTCATATATCTATAAATGATAATTACCTGTATTTTCCATCGTTAACGGTCCATGATTTGTCAGAGATTATTTCCAGGTGTAAAATCCAGGTAAAATTTTAAATCTGATCTACATGTATATATATATATATACTACATTGTACATATATATATATATGTTCTTAAGATCTCTCGGTCAAAAATTCTGGTTTATAATGCCACAGATCACAACCAATTACTCGGAAGATTAGCCCAGATCTTCTTCCACCCAAGGTATCAAACCAAACACACCCCACCCTTCTCTTACACAATGTGTATGTATAATTTGAGATAATTTTTTATTTAAATACCTTCACTTATTTTTGTACCCTCTAGTTATGTACACACAGAATTAAATGAAGCCTACCAACTCACTGTAGAAACGGCTGAACGCATACATCTAATATGGTTCTCATACCGGTTTATCTAGCAGGTAAATAAAACTATTCACAGCAGATGAACGCTATGTCAATATTAAGTTTATAAATGAATTTCGCCTCATCACTGACATATAGAAATGTGGTGAATTTATGGAGTGTCCAATGTGCACATTTTAAATTCTGACAGGTAGTTCTGTTGATTTGTCATTAAAACCTTAAAATTGATGGCAGTGATATAATGCATTAAATCAGGTTCTATTTAATTGATAAAGGTTAATGGTTTTGTTGAAATTCTGATCTGGATTTAAATTGAGTGTGAAAACGTTCTATAATATATCTATTGATTGATTTGATATCGCATACGAATGCTTTTCATCAAATTGACTGAATATTTAACCTCGATATAATTTCAAAAGATAAAAAGAAATATCTGACCTTTTAGCTCAAACATTGGAGACTGAGGTCTGTCAAGTCTACATTTGAGAAAAGTTAAATGGATACTGTATAGGAACTATAAGACCCCCACCTAGCCGTTTAACATGTCACCGTACATGAACATCAACATTGTAACCCTGTTCGACAAAACTATGTACCAACGTATGATTATCATTGTGTTGATACATGTTTGTAACAGAGTTCAGTAAACTGAAATTACCTCCCTTTCTTAACAGCATTCTGTCCCAGAAAATCATGTCTGTTCCTAACAGAGTACTTTCCCCTAAAACTACCTCCCTTGATTAGAGTTCAGCAGCTCAAATTATCTCCCTTAATAACAGTGTTATGTTCCCTAAAATTGTCTCCTTTTTACTGTGTAAATTTCCCTCAATTTATCTCCCCTTGTGAACATTGTATAACCCTCAAATTATTTCTCATGTTAAAGAGTAATGCCTCCTTAAGTTATCTCCCCTTTGAAAGATTTCAGCCTTCTCAAATAAGCTCCCCTTTTACAACATAACATACCCTCAGGCTATCTCCCTTGTGGACAGATTTTAGAACTTTAAATTATCTCGAATATTGCAGAGTTATCCTCTTAAGGTTTTCTACTTACGACCTAA